GATGATGAGGAGGCTGTTGATGAGAACGAGGAAGACCATGTCCATAATGCCAAAACGATGGGGGTGATGATAATGTCCAAGATGGCGAAGATGATTAGGAGTATGATGAGGAAGATGATGATGCTGATGATGATGATGCCTCGAACGATGACGATGATGAGGATGAGGATGATGAGGGTGATGATGTCCAGAATGATTAAGATAATGAGAAGGATGACGATGATAAAAAGAAGAACGATGATGATGAGGACGACGATCATGTCCATAATGATGACGATGATGAGAAAGATGATGATGATGAGGAGGTGGAGGAGGAGGAAAATGTCCAGAAATGATGATGATGAGGATGCCGGTGAGGAGGATGATGGTGATGATGACGATGATGATAACGATGATGCGGATAATGATGATCAAAATGATGCCCAGAATGATGACGATGATGAGGAGGATGATGATGAGGATGATGAGGATGATGATAGTGATGACGATGATGATGAGAATGATGATTAGGATGATGATGATGAGGATGATGAGAATGACGGTGGTAATGATGATGACGATGATAGTGATGATGACGATGATGAGGATGATGATGATGAGGATGATGATGATGATGATGAAAATGATGAATAGGATGGTGATGATGATGAGGATGATGAGAATGATGGTGATGATGATGATGATGATCATGATGATGATGATAATGATAATGATGATGATGATGTTGGTGTCCAAATGACTACGATGATGGAGAAGAGAAAAATGATGATGAGGATGATGATGTCCATAATAATGACGATGCTAAGGAAGATAATGATGATGAGAAGGAGGAGGACAACCGTGACCTTAATGATGACGAGGATGGGGAAAATGATGGTGACGAGGATGATGAAGATGGCGAGAAGGAGGATGGTCATGTCCAGAATGATGACGATGATGATGACAATGATGAGGCGATGGTGATGATGATGATGTTGATGATGATGATGGTGATGATGATGATGATGATGATGTGAAACATGATGACGATGATGAGGAGAATGATGATGATCATGTCCAAAATGGTGAAATCCAAAATGATGACGATGATGAGGCTGATGATGATGATGTTGATGAAGAGAATGATAATGTGTCTAGAATGATGACGATGATGAGGAGAATGATGTTGATGACGATGAGCAGAAGGAGGATGAGCATGTCCATAATGATGATGAAGATTACTATGATTTTGCTGATGATGATGATGAGGATGATGATGGTGATGGTGAGGATGATGATGATGGTGATGATGATGATGATGATGTTGGTAATGGTGAGGATGATGATGGTGATGATAACGATGATGAGGATAATGACGATGATGATGAGGATGATGATGATGATGACAATGAGAATGATGAGAGAGATTCGGATAGTGAAGATGGTGATGATGAAGAGGATGATGATGATGATGATGATGATGATAAGGATGATGATGATGATGATGATGATGAGAATGAATGGTGATGATGAGAATGATGAGAATGATGTCTAGGATGATGATGAAGATGATGATGATAAGGATGAGAATGATGATGATGATGAGGATGGTGGTGGCGAACATGATGATGATGATGATGATGATGATGATGATTAGGATGAGAATGATGATAATGAGGATGAAGAGGGTGATGGTGATGAACATGATGATGATGAGGAGGATGATGATGATGATGAGAATGATTAATAGGGTGATGATGATGATGAGATTAATGATAAGAATGATGATGATGAAGGTGATGATGATGCTGATGAAAATGATGATGAGAATGATGATGAGAATGATGATGATGAGGATGATGAGGATAATGATAGTGATGATGATGATGAGAATAATGATGATGCGAATGATGACGATGATGAGGATGATGATGATGATGAGGATGAGGGTGATGATGATGATGACGATGAGAATGATGATGATGATGAGGATGATGAGAATGAGAATGGTGATGATGATGATGATATTGATGTTGATGTTGATGATAACGATGATGATGATGATGACGATGATGATGATGAGGATGATGATGATGAGGATGATGATGGTGATGATGATGAAAATGGATGATGATGATGAGGATGGTGATGGTGATGATGATGATGAAAATGATGATTAGGATGGTGATTATGATGAGGATGGTGATGGTGATGGTGAGGATGATGATGATGATGGTGATGATGATGATGATGATGGTAATGGTGAGGATGATGATGGTGATGATAACGATGATGAGGATAATGACGATGAGGATGAGGATGATGATGATGACAATGAGAATGATGAGAAAGATGATGAGGACAATGAAGATGGTGATGATGAAGAGGATGAAGATGATGATGATGATGATGATGATAAGGATGAGAATGATGATGATGATGAGGATGATGGTGGTGAACATGATGATGATGATGATGATAGTGATGTTTTTTAAGATGGGAATGATGATGATGAGGATGATGAGGATGATGGTGATGATGATGATAATGATGTTGATGATGATGGTGATTATTATTAGGATGGGAATGATGATGATGAGGATGATGAGGATGATGGTGATGATGATGATGATGATGATAGTGATGATGATGATGATGATGATGATGTTGATGATGATTATTATTATTATTATTAGGATGGGAATGATGATGATGAGGATGATGAGGATGATGGTGATGATGAAAATGATGATTAGGATGATGATGGTGAGGATGAGAATGATGATAATGAGGATGAAGAGGGTGATGGTGATGAACATGATGATGATGAAGATGATGATGATGATGATAATGATTAATAGGGTGATGATGATGATGAGATTAATGAAAAGAATGATGATGATGGTGATGATGATGCTGATGAAAATGATGATGAGAATGATGATGATGAGGATGATGAGAATAATGATAGTGATGATGAAGATGATGATGATGATGAGAATAATGATGATGCGAATGATGACGATGATGAGGATAATGATGATGATGAGGATGAGGGTGATGATGATGACGATGATGATGAATATGATGATGAGAATGATGATGATGATGATGAGAATGAGAATAATGATGATGATGATGTTGATGTTGATGATAACGATGATGATGATGATGATAGTGATGATGACGATGATGAGGATGATGATGATGATTGTGATGATGATGATTGTGGTGATGATGATGATGATGAAAATGATGATTAGGATGGTGATGATGATGAGGATGGTGATGGTGATGGTGAGGATGATGATGATGGTGATGATAATGATGATGATGATGATGATGATGTTGGTAATGGTGAGGATGATGATGGTGATGATAACGATGATGAGGATACTGGCGATGAGGATGAGGATGATGATGATGATGACAATAAGAATGATGAGAGAGATGATTAGGATAATGAAGATGGTGATGATGAAGAGGATGATGATAATGATGTTGATGATGATGATGATGTTGATGATGGTGATGACGATGATGATGATGATGATGATTATGATGATGATTAGGATGAGAATGATGATGAGGATGATGAGGATGATGGTGGTGATGATGATGATGATGATTAGGATGAGAATGATGATGAGGATGATGAGGATGATGGTGGTGATGATGATGATGATGTTGATGATGTTGATGATGATGAGGAGGAGAAGGAGGAGGAGGAGAGTGATCATGTTCCGCATGCTGTGAATGATGTGCTCGGGAAGGTTCAACCGCACCAAGCGACCGGGGATTCACCGCACTAAGCGAAGCCTTTTCCACCAAGAGTGAGAAACATCCAATGAGAATGGGGGTTCAAATCCACTCAAACCAGGATGAACATAACTATGACACAAAGGAGCCATGATAGTAGCCACCAGCCAAAATGGGGATCTTAAGCCGGACTTGTCATTTTTGGGCAGGAACTACTTGCCCATGCTCGTCTTCATTTCCAATCTTTGCTGTTTAGAATTTGATGCCGATTGTTCCTCCTATCCCACTGTTGGTGATACTTTGCATCACCATTTATCATTCTTGGTGATATCCGCTTTGCCAATGGACCAGATTCCCATACCCAATCTTAGACACCTTTCAAACACATTATGTCAAGCTGGCCAGAATATATTCCCAACATGGCAAGAGATCAAAGTATTAAGTACACATCCAGTCAGTTTCCCCAATATATCACGATTGATAAGAACCACTTTTAAGAAGCCCGGGAATTGATATGCACTATGTTTCTGGGGTAAGCCATGATTGGCCCTTTCCGATGGGCCAGCTTTCTATGCACCTGAAGGAAGCTTGGAGCTGATTCTGGAAGTCCTTCCAGCCTCAGTTTGATGAGAAAGCGCAACAAGACACATATTGCTCTTTCTGACAATAATAAGACAAAAGAGGTCTAATGGGATACGTGCCTATACATATATATACATATATATATATATAAATATCTATATACGTATGTATAATGTTAAAATCAATGTCTGAAACTAGGATCTACCCCAGTGGACCGAAATTCTATAGGAAAAACACGATTAAGCGGTGCATTTTAGGCCCAAACCCGTTTTGGTGGTTGGTCCATATACGAACTCTTGTTAACCTAAAATAGAGCCCGCGCACGGCAATTAATCAACAACCTTTGCTGCTGCCATCAAACTGGATCAAATAGATTTGATTTCAACATTTTCTTTCCCTGCTTGAAAGACATCAGTCAATCTGGATCAACAAAAACCATGTTTTTGTGCTAGACTGAGGAATGTCAAAACTCCACAGTGAAGATCCACGGTGCCGTCTTCCGTTTTAAGCCGCTGGATTTGATCGAATCTTTACCCAATCATGTTTCTATATGGTGGTAGTTGAAAATGCCTTCCAAATCCATCACAAAAACTTTAAAGGCCAGATTTTTCGAAAAAACATCAACATCCACAATGAGGATCATGGCCTTTTTATGATCCCCATGATGTTAAGCCCAAAATCTATGGCTTTGAACGAAACATCATGGGGATCATGGCCATTCGGTCCAAAGGGCTGATAACCTCTCCCGGCTCCACGGGTGCCAGCTGCATCCGCGGGTCCTGGCGGTGTCTCCGATTCGGATGAAGATTTCACCAAATCGAAAAATTGGGGTGTCACAACCAGGAAATTGGGATTTAAAAATGGTGGGAATTTGACAGGTCAGATCTAACCCCAGGATACCATAACTGAGGTATTCAACGAAGAAAAGGGTGATTTACTTGCAGAATGGTATGGGGATTCCATTTTGATAGCTGAATCGATGGTGCACCATTTATAAGGGTTGAATCCTAATAAAATATCCCGTTCCTATTCATTAACGCACCCCACTGAATTCCCATCAAATGGTCGGCACTAGTCCCATATTTTCAATATAGCAATTTTTTAGCCATGATTTTGCCATCATCCATGGTCTCAATCGTGATTTTCCGTCAAATCCCCATAATGTCCTCAATTTCTTATGGTGAAATATCAATTCCTTGATTCTTCTTAAAGCCCCATGAAACCCTACTAGGTGCTGCCCCCGTGTATTTTTAGTTGGTCTGTAAACCCCATTAACTGGATAGTTAACCTACTTACAGTATTTCCACCAACTTAGGCAAGTATGGGGCCGTAGCGAACTGTTGGTTACATATCTCATTCATCGATGTCCATTTACTGGTATAAATCATGATAAATGGCTTGTAAAAAAACATTCGCAAATGCTACCGTGGATGGCAACGCGAAATCCGAAGCACCAGTTGACATCCATGGTTTATCCATGGTTTATCCCATTATTTCGAGGCTTTCAACCATCCTTTTGGCGATTTCGCACCCATCCACAGTAGGTCAACACGGCACCCGCAACGCAACTCCTGCGGTGTCACGCTCTCCGCGATCTCCGATTCGCGGAGGTGCCGCAACCTCTGAAGTCACAGCGATAGAAATCGGGTGATTTTGGGTGGTTTACTATTGATTTATAAATATAGGTACCAATACTCATAATATTGTTGGTGATGATCACCAAATGATTGTATATTGACCAACAATAATCATGATCAGCATGATCATGATGGTGGTTTACTATTGTATCTATATTGATTTATAAGCATCAATGATCATGATCACCAACAATATAGGTACAATACTCATAATGATAATGGTCACCAACAGTATAACGTAACAACCAATTTCGGGGGCCTCAACAAGGGTCGCCCTCATTGGGCTGGGGTTGACATTCTGTGCATGTGAGCCACCGGGCAGTGCCAGTGATTTTGGCTTACAAACCGCACTAGTTCGATATGCCTACCAAAAACATCCAAAAACCATACTTCACCAAGGTTATTTCCACTTAAACTTAGCTCTCTGGCACCGAATTGATCATCTGGTGATCCAACACGTTGTCCAAGCATAACCAAAGCAAAATGGGATGGTGAGCTACTAATTTAAGGGTGGTTTAATGATGATTTAACCATCAAATATGCCACTTGTCATCCAGGATTGTGGGGCTAGAGCAACTCGAACATCCCAAGCAAGGCCAACCTTTTAGCTGCCGCAGCCCAGCTGTGGGATTCCGGGCTGGTGAGGCACTTGTTGAACACCTGCACAGTGGAATCAGTTGAACACCTGTGGGATTTATGCCCTGGGTTGATGGTTTCTGGTAACCACGGTAACCACCCCAAAAAAATAGAAAAGTAGAATCGTACCGAACTAGTGGTAAGTCATCTTCCTATCTTTATGGAAACATATGATAAATCAACGGATTTCGACGGGGTTTCCGACAACGCCATTCCCTTCACCCTTACTGGTTCCCTTCTGTTCACACCAAAACAGCTGCTAATTGACTGTTGGTCGGTGCAAAAGATGGCATCGTTCTGACCCATCGTCTCAAACTTGTCCCCGAATTTGCAATTTTGATTGGGGGAAACGCGGTTTTAAACCACGATTCCTTCACCCATTTTGCATTTTTATTAAAACAAACTGAAACATACTCAAAAATAGTTGCTTTTCTTTTGGCTCCCCCCATTTTTGAATGTCAATCCCAGTTGATAGTTTTAAGTAATCCTAGTTATTTCATGTTATTTCTGTATATTCCCATGTTAAAACCCACCGATCATCCTCCATTTACGGCTCGTTGCCCGGCCTGGTGGTGCCACATTCGGCGTGGCTGGACAGCCCTCAGACGACGGAGTTGGGGAAGAAACGTGATATTAACATGATATAATATATAAATCATGAAACAATTTTCAAGAACCACCTACAATCATGATATATGGGATTTATCTGTCTTGTATGGTTATCTTTAGTAGATCTATAAATTCAACATTGATCTTAAACCATCACGATTGGCGGCAGCAGAGGCGCACGTGAGCTCGGCAACCTCACCGCGTTGAGCAACCACGCTCTGCTGTCGGACTTGTATCCGTGCCGGAAAGACAAGTTCAGCAACGACTTTGCGTGCTTTTCACTTCCATGCGCACCCAAACAGGGATGTAGGGGATGTAGTAGTCCAAGAGCAACTCTCGCATGACTGGGTCAAGGGCAAGCCCTTCACCCTCATCGATCTCCCCCATTAGCTCATCCTGTGGTGCTGGGCTGATGAGCTGGCAGCCTCACACCTGACCGTTCGGTCTCCAGTTTGTGCCAGTGTTTGCCCTTCAAAGGGGGGTAAAACATCCCGCTACCCTTGCTGCATCGCCATGGGTTCCAGTTTCGATGTTGAAATCAGCAAACGGACAGGACACGGATCGTGTTTTTTTGTTGACTGCCCCGGCTAGAACTAGAACCAGTTGACTACATCCCTGTTTTGATGTTGTCATGACCCCATTATTTTGATATATATATATACATATGTCTGTCTGAACATGGTTTGTTTCATCAGATAACACTTTTCATGTGAAATATGGTGATAAAACATTGGCTTTTCTTGGGTGTCCTATTTTGAGACAAACCCAAATCTATATACACATATATACACTGTATACCCCCACGAATGGGTTCAACCCAGGTTTTCTGGTTGGGTGTTCGATTACCAACGGCCTATTGTTTGTATTTGGTAATACGACATGGTTCTTGGTAGTATTACGATGGTATTATTGGTATTAGCTGTGCTAATTACTGTACCATACTCACATATTTGCCACTCAGATATTGTGGTATGCCCAGGATATGCTGCCCATTGTATCCCGTTTTAGATGGTGACATTCCGATGATTTCTTTCTAGGTTAAATCAATAAACAATGCCATCCATATTAGCTATACGTCCTCATGCAATATCCCCATGAATACCAATGAAATACCTTTGACATATCACCATAACTTATGGCTTTAGGGGTATGATATGATGTGTATATTCCTCTCTCATTCTATCCCCATAAATTATGGATTTGGTATGAAATATCCTTGGGGCCCAAAAAATACCCCTGTAGATTTTCCATATATTTAGCATTGATTAACCATAAGTTATGTGAATTTACCATGATCTCCCCATATCGCCCCGCCTGCCGCAGCTTCCCCACAGGGCCGTCCCGTGGCGCGGACTCGCGGGCCTCGCTGCGCACCACCTGAGTTCACCGGAGGAAACTGGCGTGTCACCAGGAAAAATATGGGGTTTATGGAGTTTATACTGGAGTTATAAACATTATATAATGGTTATAAATGGTATAATCAACTGGGTTGTATAATGGTTATAAAGCAACATATATCTGAAGTTTATAACCATTTGTAACCAACCAGATATAACCATTTATACAACCCAGTTATGATGATTTATACCAATAAATTGTGATTTATAGCAATAATGCCAGGTGTCATGGGATTTATAGAACCCATTTATGATGATTTGTAGTAATATTTGTGGGAGTTGACTGGCAATGGTTATTGGGGTTATTGGACCAAGACTTGGAAAATGATTGTTCATATAGCTAAGTTGCTTTATGCACCACTAGCTTATATTTCTTTATACTGACATGAATTGACAAGTATGCTGTGCCAGTAGTGTGTTTCATGCGGGGCTTGGCAGGTACAAGGACGCATCCATCAATACCCAATGGAAATGGTTGCTGTATGTATATCACACATACCCTCTGGAAATCTAACATAGCCATGCACAATCATCATTTTCAACATGTACAATAAAGCATCTGCAAATGGGCCATAGCTTCCAGAGGTATTTGGATGCAAAACCCATGGAAAGCAGAATGGTCCATGGTGTCAAGACATGGGCTCGGCCACTGGGTAGGCATTTCAATGCGTAGTCCTTGAGCAAAGAAATCTCTTTTAGGTGTGTTTGTCTAAAGTTCTTGTGGACAGCAGTGTTGGCAACGAGCTCAGTGATGCAGCTTTGCTGTCTGTTGGCTGTCTGGTTTGACTTTCGAAGGACTTGTCAGAGACAATGTTGATATGTAGACATAAAATATACATTAATGGTAGGTGCCTCCATCCTCAATTAAAAAACTGACTTGATGAGTTGCTTTTTGGCCCTTCATCTTCCCATCATTGGGATCAATGGTTGTTTTGTTATGTTTTGTTCAGATGTATTTATATCAACATTTGATAAAAGACACTTCAGGATGGCTGCACTGCATGCCCTCAGTATCGGCTATAGCCTTTTAAGTTTAGTCTACCAGCAATGCTCCTTGTTTCACCGTTTGCCACTCAATTTATTCTGCTTTATCAAATCAACGTTTGACTGAATAGAGAGCAGCTTCAACAAGAATCTGATTTATGGTGGGTTCATTTCATTTCCTTTTGATTCGATTTACTATAAATAGGCTAAGAATTTAAATGCCGCCTTAGACGCAGTCAGCGTCAGTCAATAAACAACACAAAGGATAATTTGAAATACATTTTAAGTATATGTTTGGTATCGCTGATAGTCAAAATACTTAGCCAAGTTCAAGTTCAAATATGAAAGCAAAGTTACCGGATGCATTTTGAAAGTCCATCACACAATCACGCAGGAAATGGTTGGACACCACAGGGCCAAATATGGCCAAATAATATCTGATACATGGGTCTAAGAGCTACAGGCTTTGATAAACTGAATATGTAACACTGTACACACATGCCGCAGCAACAAAATGGCCCAATCATGTTTTCAGCCAACGAAAAACGACAGCGTGATTCCAAGACGTTGGGGCGTCCCAAAAAGGCGGCTCGGACCGGCCGAACGCCAATGAGTCCACTGGCTGCTTTCTGTTCCCGCTTCGAAATCCACCTTCCAAGTGTTTGTCAAGATCCGAAGGGGACGAAAACTGTTGCCGAACAATATTGAATATAGATATATAGATAGTTATAGATAGGTATATAGATAGATCTCCCTGCGGAAAGTCCTCGGCCTCATCGTCAGAGCACGGGTCCAAGCGATCCATCAATGGGTGAGTATTGGCCATCTTGAGCGAAAAGCCTTCCTACGATACCTATGGAAGCATGGTGGAATGGCGGATACCAGCACTTTCAACAGGAGGCGGAGGCCCGACTTGGAGATTGAACCTTGTTCGGAGGCTCAGGATGTTCTTTCCCACAGACCTTGCACATGTGAATTTCCAGACATTCAACATCTGCCATCTTGATTTAGGATGTTGATACTATTGCCATTACAAGCACTATTACCATTCCCCTTATCCATCATGTGGTCAGGAAACTAAATTCATAGCTCCTTGGCTTTGCAAAATACAGAACACGGAGACCCGAATTGGAGAGTAAATCCCGAATCAACCAACATGAATTGGATAAACCATTTAATCAACATGCCACTCATATCGATTATCCCTTGATCAAACCCCCATTGAATTCATGATTTTTGGGATTGAACCCACTTTAGCAGTGTTCAAAACTATTCAGAGTATGAATAGGTGATACACCAGAATTGGGTTTACAGTCTGATGGCTTACCACTACTATTTACATCCTATAACAAAAACTATAACTATAATCATGGTAATAATTAGTTGTTTCTGTAATGTTATGGTAATACTACTATGGTCTAGTTAAACTATGGTAATTACATGCTATGGGTATAGCCTAATTATAGCTAGACTATTACTACTACTATGCTTTACTATTACCAGGATTTCTACCATTTCGCCCACCTTGTGCCGCTTCGTGGTGAAGAGCCGCAACACCTGACCGGCACGACACTTGGTGGATGAGTTGCTTGAGGGATTTACCATCAGGAAGTGATGTATATATTTATACAATTATATATTGAAAATACGTGTATGTATATATATATATACATATATATATACATAAATATATATACATATATATATATATATACATATATATATATACATATATATATACATATATATATATATACATATATATATATACATATATATATACATATATATATATGTATATATTCATATTCAATCATTACAAGTGACTATCTTGTAGGGATTAATCAGCAGTTTGTGATGTGATTGGTGTTGCAATGTGGTACCCGATGTTTCTGTTGGTTTATACACTCCATTCACTAGTTCGATATATCTACCGCAAACCCTAGCTATGTTAGTACCAAGGATTGTATAAGTACCCTACAATTCTATGAAATATCACTTATTCTACCAGATATTCAACGGATTGGTTTAGGGGAAATTTACAGGAAAACCCAGTATTTAATGGGAAAATCGATGGTTTCCGGTGTAGATTTTCCCGAAAAAAACAAATCCGTTGAGATATATCTATGAACTATCACCCCATTTCTACCAGATATATCTACCTTAAAGCCTTGTTTTTACCCTAGCTATCTTTAAAAGCAAGACTGATATGACGGTTTTATCTACCAGATCTGCGGATTTCACCATGAAGCGGGGATTTTTCACCAACCAAGCCATGGCTTCATGGTACCAGTATGGTGGGATGTACCAAGAAGGAAAATATGAATGGGGATGAATCTGGTTAATATATGTTAATATGGTGGGATTTTTATAGTTTTATTTTTGGATAGCTGCCAGCTCCAATGATACAATGATATCAAATGATCAACCCCCCAAAAAATAGGTTTTAAGATACTTTTATTGGGATATAATGGTGATTCAGCAGTGATAAACAAATCTACATGCAAATTTACGGGTAACAAATCGTTGAACCAAATACTATCAGTCACTGGGAACTTCAGGGGGGGCTACCCTTTAGGAAAATATCCTTGCAATAGGAGATCCAGTATGGAGGAAAATGATGATGCGTGGTGGATTTTCCGGTTTCAATGAGATGTAGCCAATGAAATATTGAGGATATGGGTTTGTCTCAAGATGGAGAGATATCGCAATTTATTGGCACAAGGGCAAAGGAACATGATATAACATCATAACTATTGCATGAAGTGGGATCTCAAGTTTCGAGACAACCCATTCAAACATGATGGGTTAAAGAAGAAAACATGATGACGCTGGGAGACTCGCCATGGAGTGTGCATGGAGATTGAGACTAAAACGAACTGGACCTGGTGGAAGTGGTGTCCACTACGGAGAGTGCTGGACCTGGTGGTCAAAAAGAGATACAGAGACTGTAAATGAGGGCCCAAAACAAGACCCCTGTTGAAAGGACCGAGTAATCGGCTGAATGATGTACAATATGTCGATGAAATCAGTCGTAAGCCCTGAGACATTGATCCTTTTGGGGTTGAACCAACATATTGGATTCACATTGGAGTGAGTTGGTTAGATTCTAACTCCAAACCAATACTGCAGATCTTGGAATTTCAAAGCACTCCGAGAATAGTAACTCCAAAATACATCGAAAAGTGGGAAACCTGTAAATATGTATTCAATAATGTAATATTTTACCTCCTGGAAACACTTTTCCATCGATAAGTGACTGGATACAACGACTGGATCAATACCCACGTAGCCACGCTCATCGGCTCAGCTGGAGACGACTGAGAACCCCCAGGGTGTCCCATTACCAATCCTTTGGGGGATGAATTGCTGAAATCTAGAAGAAATTCTAGATCGTAACATCTTACGTAAGATACTTAAAAGAAGACATATTGAGATCTTCTTTGAAGGAACACGTGGATTCAGATCTTCTGTTCTTTATTTGTACAAAATACTGAATCCTCAAATGATTCCCCAGAGTGATCTTCCCGCCTCAGCATCCTCATCCGTGCTACCTGGCCGGTCGGCCCGTCCAGAAATGGGGTACCCATTGATACGTGGCAATCTCTCGAAGAACTTGGGCAGTTTTTAACACATGGAATCATAGAAATTCATAGATATGGAAGCTCCATGTGTTGAAAGTTGAATTGGATTAGTATGATTATATATATATCACATGGACTAATATGGACCGTTCCATATTAACTAATTTTGAATCCGGAATTGTTTTTCTGTTGAGCCATGTCAACTTTCTGTTGAATGAACCATGGCCTTGTGGAGAAACCACCCCAAGAGTTCGACATTGCAATGAAAATGGTGGCAACTGGGACTTGTATTCCACGTTACCTCTGATAATCCAACATAACAATGAAAAAAACACCTTTTTAACTATAATGAGAGAGATATATATATATGCATTAAATAAGGTTTTCGGCTAGGGACAGTGCTGGGTAGTGGCCCCCCTAGCTCGTTCAACCTCAGCGGGTCGCAATTTGGTGGACACCCGCGGGCAGCCGGCGTCTTCCGGCATTCTTGTGCTCTGGCAGCACAGGGCTGGCTGCCAACACCTTTGCTTTTCCAGTTGCTCTTTTTCGACCGACCTCTTCGTCGACTGGGACCTCTGCTGGCATTGGTGATCCACTTTCACTTCCCCTTCAACTTTGACTTGGCGATCGACTTTGTCTCGACCATCTTCATCTTGTTTGGGATTGTGCACAGCATCTGCTGAACTGGTATTTAGCCCTGGCAGTTTGCTTCGTATTTTTCGATATTTATGGTTTTTTGCCTCTGGTGGTTTTTCTGGGTTCTTTTCGTTGGACATCATCACGAACTCCATCAGACGCAATCAGCGGCGACAGAGAGCACGGGCGAGACTGGCTTGGTTCCTACACAAACGTGGTTTGTGCATCCTGGATTCACAACAGATCTCAGCTCTACATCATCGACTTCGCCGACATCACTCACGAGACCATCATTTTTTAGGACGTCTTCGCAGCGAGATGGCGAGACTTCAATCAGAGAGCCATGGTTGGTTCTGTGGCACGTGCCGAAAAATGAGGTCGCCGCAGTCTCATTACTGCGACCTTTGTGGGCAGGCATGGCAGGACTGTATCCAATACCCCTCCAAGAACGCTTCTCGCAGGGGACAGATGGATTATTACAGCGGCTACACCCAGGAGTACGAAGAGACACCATGGGCAGGCCCTGCTTGGACGGAGAGTCCAAGAAACAGTCGGAGGAAAAGCCCCCGGCAGCCTTCTGGAAGGAGGCCCAAACAGAAGCCACAGAGGAAAGGACAGGGCAAGGGTACCAGCAAAGGCAAGGAGAAGGGCAATTTTGCTATGGCCAGTCAAGCACAGCAGACTGCAGCGCCGCCCCCACCTCCACCTCTTACTGGCCCCAATGCGGCTCCGGCGCCATGGATGTCCATGCCTCAGCCACCTCAAGAGGTGCAGACACAGGAGCATCCGGCAGAGCAAAGGCTCAACGAAGTGATGAACCTGCTCAAGAAGAAGAAGGGAGACCAGGACATTCAGGAGATCGTCAACAAGTACGATTCCTTTGGAAAGAAGGCCACCAAAAAGCAGATGCATCACGCAGTGAACGACTTGGATCGCGCTCGGAATGCGATGGAAGACGCGATCCAAGCCAGGACGAACCTCATGAACAATTGGAGGAGCTTTCTCACAGCCTCGCTGGAAAGATGGAGAGAGTACACGGGCCAGTTTCAGCAGCAAGAGGCAAAATGTCAAGAGGAGATTGCAAAGGCCAAAGAGGATCTTGCGAAAGCCAAAGTGGAATTCCTTGCCCGCATGCCGGACGAGACACAGGAGATCTCGGACGAAGATGTGGACATCAAGGAGCAGAGCGAGGCAGCTTCCAAGATTTTGGGCGGCATGGAGAACATGAACAGCAATCTACTCGTCCTCACCGAGCAAGCTGCAAAGGACAAGGCCGAAGCAGAGGAACGCTCCAACAAGAGGCCAAGGAAGACGGCTCTAGGCAGCACAGCAATGGAGACCGAGACAGGAGAGGAACTCGGGCGTACAGATGGCTCCAAGTTGCCTGCACCGTCTTTTCAGAAGCCCGGTCAGTGATGGCCTTCGGGTGCATTGGCCAGTGGGCTCTTGGTCCTGCTGATGCTATCATTCAACAATGGAACCACTCCATTGTTCAGAAATGGTGGTTCATCTCTACATGGGAGGCTTCAGAACGTGCATTGGCGCTTCACTGTGAGGTGTGCGAAGACACACCATTCTTTCCTACAGTTCCCCGTTGGCAAGGTTTGGGTGTAGCCATGCCACAAAGGAGAGAGCAGAAAGATCGCCATGTACGATTTGCCAATTTTGCTGAAGGTCTTTTTGAAGACCCACATGGAGGCACTTGGAATCGATTTGATCTTTTGCACAAAGATGCACAACAACCAGAAGGACCGCACCTACATCACAATGATCCCAATGATTCGAAGCAGTCTTTGGATGTTTCTATGGTTTCAGGGTGGAGTCCCTTTTGGTTGAATTCACATTCTCAACTTCCGCTACATCAGCATCGACTTACAGATGAGTGGCACAATGTACCATCACAATGGCTCACACAGGACGGTCTGCCACAAGACCAAGTTCCTGGTGATGACCATTTCAATTTGAATGAGGCGCCCAACACGATACAGGAGCTCTACAACACGTTTTTGGAGCACCACCTTGTTGAGGGGCCGAGACTTGAAGAAGCGATACATCTTAGAACATGGTATCTACATCATGGGCAAGTACGCCAGTGGAACACGCCACGTATCATTGAGCTTGATGGGCACTGGCGACACTGGGCAAGATCCATTGCAGAGGGATGGCGAGACCATGTTCGACTTGATGAGGATATCGCATTCTATGTTTGTCGCCCAGATCCACCAAGAAATGTTGCAGTGCAATTTGAGGTTTACTTTGATCTCATTTTGACTCAGGGGCTTGAGATGCCATCTTGGTCTGGTCTCATCACAGTTCTTCGAGCGGGAGACCGTGCAGCGAGAGCAGAATATAGTCTGGCTGTCTCACTACCGCAGTATGTGAGTGGTTTTCTCCTTGCCAATGAGGCAAATCAGCTCCAACAATGCCATCTACGTGGATGCAGGATTAGGCATGCGAGAAATGAGATTCCACTCAGCATTGATCCTGTGCACGCAATGAACAATGGGGACACATTCATCATCGAGCCTGCAAGAAGCACTGCTGCTGCGGCCAGCGCCAGTGCAGATCTCCCCACTGCAGAACCTATTGCGGATACGCAGATGGACTATGAACTGGACGATCATCAACCAGAAGATCTACCTGAGCAGATACAGGACGACCCTCCAGAAGATGATTCGTCATCGTCTGAACAGCTGCCTGATCTACAAGCAGTTCACATCTACAGATTGGGCCAGTTTCCAATTTTTGGGCATCTTGACTGGAGGTCCTATCATGCAGCGCTCAGGGACGCTTCGCAATTGGTCCGCACCCATATCAACCAGCTAGTGGGTTTCCATTATGTGCATGTCAGCCTCACTGGACATCAAGCGGGAGAAGAAGCAATTATTCTCCAACACATCCATGACCTTGAGGTTGGTTCTTTGGAAAAACTGGTCATTGTGGATGTAGTGCTTCACTCCAATCGTTTGAATCATGGTGTGCCGGACAATCCTGCAGTCACAAGGGAAGTCTACAAAGTGCAACCTCAACTGGCGAGGAGGCATCTCCTCTTAATGGCCCAAGTTGATGCTTATTGCACGTGGATGGCGAACACCTGCATTGTCGAACACAATGGTCATGTCTGGCACCACAACGACCCACAATTGCGTCAAGTTGAACATGGAACGGTTTTTCGAATTCAGCTTCCACCACCTCTGAATCCTGCATGGAACATTGGACAAGCTGTTCGTGTAGCTCATGAGACTGGTGAACTTCTGGACTTCCCAGAAGCTGGACAACTTGCGCAATCGATACTTGAAGGCAACGTGGACCAGAATCGCCTTGAATTTGGTGTTGATGCTCGCAATGGCGCGAGACTTGTCACGTGCAAGGGCAATGACCAGGTCGAGGACATTGATATCCCGACTACGTTTCCACCTGGAACAAGGCAGCCCAGACTTCGACCCAGACATGATGGAAACTTTGACTGGCTGGACCGCCTCGTTGAAGTCTTTCGTGCACATGCAGAAGCTGAAACCATTGAAGGAGACCCTTTGCTGTATGTACAATCGTGGTACATCCACCATGGACGTCTACGCAAATGTCCAGAGCCCAGACCAGTACGTTTGGACAATGCCATCATTGGCTGGGTAGAAGAGTTTCGTTTTGCCTGGCGAGACCTACTGGACCGACATGAGGTTTTCAGCATACATGTGGTTCGACCTCGACCTCCTCAGTTGCGATGGCAATCATTTGCTTGTCATGTGATTCTGGTACAATCTCCAATGCCACAGCAAGCAGCTGGCCTCATCACGAACCTCTTTGAGGGGCCGGATAGAGATGCCATTCAGCAATTTGCGCTTTCCTTTCCGAGGAGGATCAACAAGCCTTTGGTCATTGAAGAACTACGTCTTCAACCACAATGTGACACGAGAAGATGCACAATTCATGCTTGTGGAGAACCGGTTCATTTGATTTTGATGACAGAGTTGCCGGAGGGCTTCAATCTTTGCACACGCATCTCGGATCCCACAGTGCAAAGGCCTATCCCACCACGAGCTGACCCTGGCCATTTCGAGGATGTGGTGTTCATGCAAACTGGACAGCCCCAATCAATTGCAATGTCAGGGCCGAGTCACAGTGCGGCTTCGACACACCATGACTCCTGCGGCAGTTTCGCTTTCAATCCTAATGCTCTGCCCTTTGTGCCTGGAGCCTTACCTATTGAAGCGATGTCGGAGTTTGTTCAAGACCTGCATGAGCTTTGGCGTCAAGAAGCATTTACGTGGGAAGGTGAAGACAAGTCTTGCGTTTTTACCACGTGGCTCGTCCATCATCCTCACGAACTCAAACACTGCACCCGGCCAAGAAATGTTCGCTTGCACGAAAGTTTTGTGACATGGGAAGAAAAGATACGCCGAGCATGGCAAGATGAGATTGGGGAGGACTCCGCGCTGGAATTTCACCTTGTCTCTCCTACACCTCCATACTCTGGGCCAGATGTTACAGGGCATATCATTGTCATCAGGAACCAAATTGAACACCTCACCACCAACCTGGTCACTGTCATCGACCGTACAAGAGATGCTGCTCATGGACGTGTACAAAGGATGGCAGCCACCACCAGGGAGCATTTAATGCTAGAAGAGGTGCTGGAGGTTGTGGGCTATGATGGAGCCTGTCTTCCAGCCAACGCTCCGCTGGAGTGTAGGGCATGGATTGGGGACGAGCGTCTTCGCCTTCGACGTCCTTTCCCTGGCCGAAGTGGGCACAGTATCCTTCTTAACATGCATGGCAGGACACGCCCAGCGGGCGATGGAATCAACCTTCTTCAATTGACCAAACCTTCACTGGCAGACGAGCGCCTAACACAGGGGATGGTGGCTCACACCCCTGGGCCGTCAAACCAGGAGTCCGAAACATCCTGCGGAGCAGGTCTCACTTGGGAAGGCGAACAAGATGATGAGATGGCACACTCTGCAGTTCATCTCATCAAAGGTCATGATGATCTTGAATACCTTCCTTCCTTTGTGGAAGTCATGTCTCCTGCCACCACTGACAATGTTTTGAGTGAATTGCTTTGCTTTGGTGTGCGCTGCAGGGTTGCACTTCTTGGCCATGGTGATAACGCTCTTTGCCTACCTTCCCATTGGGCACCGACACATGATGAATGCCACTTTGCGTACGTGGATATGTGCCCGGCCACTAATGCGTCTGTGTTCATGCATACCATGTTGATGGCGGAGGAGGACACCCTTGTTCATATGCGCTTCCTGCATAGTCTGGGATTTGAGAAAGCGGTCATCATGAACCAAATCAAGCACTGTCAAGGACTGATGGAGATTCAATTCATTGTGTCTGAGGGACAAATTGAGACTGACAGCAGACCCTCGAAGCCGGCATCAGTTTGGCCTGGTCGACAGCCGCAGGTGCCGGAGGGACCGATGTATGTACCCCCAATCTGTGGCTCCGCACCAGCATGCCTTCTGAATTTGGGAGTGACGAGCGACCAGCTTCTGCAGTTCTTCTCGCACTCTCAAGACCAAGAGTTGTGTCAGCTTCTTGAAGGACTTGACCTACCGGAAATTGTCACGACACATCTACAACAACTTCAGCCCATTGAGCACATCGACCGCATCATCGTCTACACGGACGGTTCATCCCACTCCGGCCGTTATCATCTAGCGCCTGAACGTGTGGAAGAACAACACACTCCTGATGCTTGGGCTTTTGTAGCCCTGGGTGAGCAATACCATGAAAGTGGCTCTACGTATACCCTCCTTGGCTGGAAAGCTCATCAAGTCAGATGTGCAGAAGATCATCCTTGGCACATTGGGTCACGAGCCATTGGACCGTGGGTGGCAGAACGGGAGGCATTGCTATGGGCCTTCATTTGGCGGATCGGCCTCAATTGTCGCATACCGACATTGTTTCGTTCTGACTCATCCCTGACCATCGGACAGGCGGAAGGTACACTTGGAGCTGCCCATTATGATGACACTTTTGGACTTCTACGTGGATGTCATCAGCTGCTCTCTGCAGCTTTGCCTGAAGATTGCATAAGGCTGGAGCATATCTATGGCCACAACAATGATCCTTGGAACGAGATGGCCGATCACTTGGCCAAACTGGAGGCGAGAAATGGACTCTTCCTCCCTCGTGGAGATTTCCGCATCGCCCCATGGCGCCCTCTCATTCCATATTTATGGATGATCTTTGGACAACCAGATGGTCTACCAGCGCATTGTCATGAAGGTTTTGCAATACCAGCTCCCAAACTTCCACAGCCTTGCAAAGAACCTCCAACAGAGCTGTATCAGGATCCTATGGAAGTCCGTTTTGCTGTCAGCTTGGCGACAGCCAATGTTCTTTCAATGAGTTCCAAACCACATGGGCATGCAGGAAAGGTACACTACCTTCGTGAACAACTGGTCAGCCATGGTTTGAACTTTGTCGGATTTCAAGAGACCAGGGGGCAAGCTGGTGCGTCTCTGGTCGATCATGTATATCGACTTTGTGCTGGAAGCAAAGGAGGGCAACATGGTGTGGAATTGTGGTGCAACCTCAAACAGCCGTACTGCTATGCTCAGGGCAAACCTCAGTTCTTTCGCAAGACTGATTTTGTTGTATTGCATGCGGATCCACAGCGACTATTGGTGAAAGTTGATGCCAAGTGGATCAACTTGTGGATTTTTGTGATGCACGCACCACACAGTGGATTTCCTGCTCATCAACGTGAAGAATGGTGGGAGGCTACCACCTCTCTTCTTTTAGAGCTACATGTTCCTGCTGATCACCTTTTTGTTTGCGCTGATGCGAACGCTGCACCAGGTGTCTCAGATGGACGGCATGTTTTTCAAGAAGGGTCAGCAACTACCAGTTCGACGCCCTTTCTTAGACAATTTTTGGAAACCTTCGAAATTTGTTTGCCAGCGACAAGTCCGATCCATGAAGGTCCCAAAGCAACATGGATGCAGCCCAATGGGATTTTGGCCCACCAAATCGATTTTGTGATGATCCCTACTCGACTTGCAGCTGCCTGCACGTTCTCAAGTCTTCTGGAGAACTTTGACCTGGCGAACCAAGTTGAGGATCACACAGCTACTGCAGTGGAAATATGTTGGTCGCACACCTTCTCCAGACCTTGCAGGACCACCACTTTTCCTTGCAAACCGTCATTTGCCAAGGAGGAGATCAACAAGAACAACCTGAGTAGTGGGATGCGTTCACTCTCCACAACGGCATGGGCATGTGACGTTGAAACCCACACGGACCACATGAACAACCAATTGCATCACCTTCTTCACCGGGTCTGTGCCGTCAGCAAAGGTACACCCAAGAGACCGTATGTGTCTGAAGCTGCTTGGACACTGCGACGGCAAAAGCTACACCATCGGAAAGAATTGAAAACTGCGAGAGCACTGATGCGCAGAGAAACCCTCGCACGTGTCTTTGCTGCGTGGAGGGCACCCTCAGACCAACTCCTTGAGTTATCGTTTGTGTTCGGCTCCTCACTCCGATGTGGCCTTCTCAAGCATTACATTGGATCCAAACGCTTTGCAGTGGCGTTGCAAAGGGAGCTTGCAGGTGAGAAGACAAGACTGCTCAAGGAAACCTTGGCCACCATCAGTGAAGGAACAGCAGCATCTGAAATTCAACACAAATTGAAAGGATTCCTGGGGTCTTCGAACAAGCTGCGGCAGGGATTGGCTCCGCTACCAGCTCTTCGAGACACCAAACATTTGCCCTGCAGTTCTTCGGAGGAGATGCTGTCACGATGGATTCAGTTTTTTGCGGACATGGAGGGGGGAGAACGTGTGCCCTTTTCGAAGCTTCATGCAGATTGGGTACAACAGCTCTCTGAGTTCAGCGAGCAAGCCCAGGTTTTGTCCATTTCTGACATTCCAAGTTTGAGTGCTCTTGAGGCGTCCTGCCGTAGAGTCAAAGCTGGCAAGGCAGTTGGACCTGATGCAATCCCCACTGAACTATGCAGGTATTACCCGGTAGAGACTGCCAAGATGATGTATGCCCTCATGATGAAGCTGATCACACACGGTCACGAGCCCCTACTTCATAAGGGAGGCACTGTCATCCCTATTTGGAAGGGAAAACTCGCCAAAGACACGTGCGAGGCATATCGCTCCATCTTGCTGTCATCGACTTTGGGTAAAGTGGTGCATCGGACGCTGAGGATCCATCAAAGAGACATCTATGAAGCCTACCTTCATGCTCAACAGCTAGGCGGCCGATGTCATGTTCCTGTCACTTTGGGAGCGCATCAGACCCGCGCATTTGTTCGCTGGCACCGTGAATGTGGACACCCAACTGCAGTGCTCTTTGTGGATTTGCAGGAAGCTTTCTATCGAGTCCTGCGCCAACTCGCATTGCCGGGCTCCTTTGGTGATGAAGCCCTTGCAAAGTTGGCACAACGACTGGGTTTGGGACCTGATGTTTTGCATGAACTTTGGCAGCACCTGCAGGAACCTTGTGCTCTAGCTAGAGCAGGTATGTCTACATGCGCGCAGGGGGTTGTGCGAGCATTGCATACCAACACGCATTTTCAGCTCCCACAGCAAGCTGATCACGTGCAAACATCACTCGGCACCCGACCGGGCGATGCCTACGCTGACATCGTGTTTGGCTTCCTTTTAGCACGTGTCTTGCACTTGTACGAGGAGAAACTTGAGCAGGCCAATGTCCTTTCTTCTGTCCCTCGCCAAGATGGGATGGAACTTTTCAATGTGGAAGCAAAAGAAGATGCTCAGGAGTGCCGCTTTCTCGGACCGGTCTGGATGGATGACATGGCACTGTGCCTGTGGAGCGAGACGAACAATGGACTCAAGCAGAAGATAGGTGTGGCCAGCAGCCTCTTACTGGATATTTTCAGAGAACATGCTATGACCCCCAATCTTCGTCCTGGCAAGACAGAGCTCATGGTCAGTCCTCGAGGCCCAGGCACGCGAGAATGGAAAAAGGAGATGTTCGGACCGCTCTCCACGAAGCACTTCCCAGCGCTTGGAGAACATGGCCTTTACCAAGTTCATCTGGTAACCTCCTATACTCATTTGGGAGGAGTCCTGCACTATACTGGTGAAGTCCGTGCAGAAGTCCGGAGGAGAGTGGCGATTGCTCATCAAGCATTTGGCAAACACCGGAAGCTGGTGTATCAATGCGAAACGTTTCCATTGCATAAACGAGCTGAAATCTTTCGCAGTTTGATCATGAGCCGTCTGCTTTATGGTGCTGATTCTTGGGCACTTTGGGATGCTCAATCGAAGATGAAGCTTCACTCTGCCATTATGCGGCTTTACCGCCGACTACTTGGCAGAGCCCATGCTGACCATATGCAGGATGAAGAGATTCTTTTTCATGTGGGTCTCTCATCACCGACTGATCTCTTGCGACTTTGCAGGCTACGTTACATTGGCTCACTTTGCGCCGTTGGTGACATTGCTTGCTGGGGCTTGCTCAACCGAGATCGTCTCTGGCGTATTCTCATTGAGGATGACATGAAATGGGTTTGGCGAAATCTGGCCAACACATGTGACCTTGGGGACCCTACCCAACACATGCAACGTTGGTTTGAGATTATCCGCTTTCATCGTGGATTTTGGAAGGGCCTCCTCAAACGAGCGGAAAAACATGCCATTCTTCAACAAGCTATGCGCTTTCAATGCAGCAATTTTCACCAGAGGATTCGCAGCTTGCTAGTGGACCATGACTTCTGGCGTGTGCCTGACAGACTTGCACATCTTTCAGCAGACGCCCCCTCTTTTGGATGCATGTTGTGTCAACAACGTTGCCGATCTAGAGGTGGTGAAGGGGCACACATGTGCAGAAAGCATGGACAAGTTCAACAGATCAGGCGATACATTGCTGGCACACAATGCATGGCCTGTTTGAAAGAGTACCACACGGTTGGGCAAGTGCAACAACACCTCATGCGAAGCGCAGCATGCCGTACATATCTTCTTCATCATCGACTTCATGGCGAAGTTCTTCCAGGCATTGGGTCCAAGGACAACACAACCAAAGCGCAGGAACATGATGGGCGCTTGCCACCACTTCAAGCAAGTGGGCCTGCGAAACCACACAGAGGTGGCTTGGACTTCTCTTTGGCTGACTTTGAGCTACATGATGCGCTGGCGCTTCTCATTGTGGATGCACAGACAACCTCAGAGATTGCAGGTTTGGAGGTTCTTCTACGAGCAGAGATTTCGCGATGGCCTATATCATGGACAAGATGTTGTGCCACACTTCAAGAGCTCACGGACACCGTGGTGACGGAACCATTGGGCTGGGACATTTTGTCGAAGGAGGCTGTCCTCACCATTATCCAGTGTTTGTCACAGACGTCGTCGTGGCCTTTCCTTGTGGATGCGCAGATGCCGGACGAGCGCTATGTGGACACCCTGGAAAACATGGAACAAGAATGTCGAGAGGAGGCTCTGAAATGCCCACATACAGAAGGACCTACGGTACCACGACCTTGCGGACGCCATCAGATTGTTCTCCATGCTTTCAGTGGCAGACGTCGCCCGGGCGATTTGCAATTTTACATGGAGCAGATGTACGACCGTGCGGCAGAGGGCATCCATTTGACCGTGGTCTCCCTTGACATCATCACTGACCCAGTAATGGGAGATGTCACGGTTAAGGAGACGCAAGATTTCTGGTTTCACTACGCATCATGTGGCGCAGTGGCGGGATTTCTTTGCGGACCGCCTTGTGAGACCTGGAGCCGTGCGCGCTTTGTGCAACTACGGAACTCCCAGTGCAAGGGCCCACGGCCGGTCCGGTCTGGAGATGAGCTTTGGGGGTTGTTTTCCCTCAGCCTGCGTGAGGTGCGACAAGTGGGAGTTGGAAACTTCTTGCTCTGCTTTGCCTTGGAGATGCTCTTCAGATTAGCATTGGTGGAAGCAAGTGGAGCTTTGGAGCACCCTGACATGCCGCCGGACGAAACCATGCCATCAATTTGGCGCCTTCCTATCATGGAGTGGCTCCTGCAGATGCCTGGTGTGCACACCTTCTCCTTCTGCCAGGGGCTCCTTGGTGCTCCAACGCCTAAGCCTACGCGGCTATTGGTGCTGAATATGCAGGACCTGATGGGCGAACTTCGCCGACACCACTTGTGCCGAGACCTACCTGCACGTGCAGCCATTGGCAAGGAAAAGGGGGGGGCTTGGCAAACGACCAAGCTCAAAGAATATCCCCCGGCAATGAGCAGAGCTCTTGCAGCCAGTTTGTTAAGTCCCTTTCATCTCGCCCTTTTGGAGATTCGGTGCAGATGGATGAGGCATTTGTACAGAAATGTACTGCCATGGACATCAGATCCTATGGCGTAACGATTGGCAAGGACTTTGCAGGCCAGTCGTGAATTCGCAGAGGCGAGCCGCACCGGAAAGGATCAGTGTGCTTGTGCAAAAAATATATGCATTAAATATCATTAAATGCTATTTAAAGAATGGGAACAATGAATGCATTTCCACAGACATGGAATGCTTTGTTGTTTTCACTTATTGCTACTTGAATATGGGCCAATCCCATTTGTGGTTCTTTTTTTCCACACCTTCTCTGCCTCCCATACGTATATAATACCCATGATATTCCTATAATATTCCCGTTGTGCGTCCTATTGTTATTGCTTCAATCTTCCATTTCTCCATATGTTATGCCATGATCCATTTGAATCCATTGCTCAAACCATATGGAGGTTTCCTACGTCGTTCAAATCATGCAAGCCATTAGACCATGACTTAGTATTGAAACTCTTTCCCAGTGTCAGAAACCACCATATGTTAGATTGCCAGCGGGTAAACCCCCATAAAATCCCATTACATCATCATTTCTTGATGGTTAAACCACTTTTCATTGGATTTCTATTGTGAAATCACCATTTTCAAGAAACAACCAGATGGGACTCTAACTATATATATGTATACATATAACTATATATATATATATAACTATATATATATAACTATATATATATAACTATATATATATACACCCAGAACTACATATATATAGCTATATATAACTATAAGTATAGATATACATAAAACTATATATTATATATATATACACATAACTATATATATAGTTAGGTAGGTATACACATCTATCTGTTATATAATGGGGATACGATTTCGATGCGACCGATGGGCCTGGCGCGCTCGACGCTGCCTTGTAGACACATTTTGGGAGATCCGCCATGACCTGCGCAGCGGATGGACAGCGCCATTTCGATGGTGATTTTCAGCACGCCTTTTTTGCTGGAAAACCCATGACCCATGGTGGTTTCTATCTTCAAAAAACGCATCGTCATCATCATCATCATCGTCATCATCATCTGGTTGGTGGTATACCTACCCCTCTGAAAAATATGAGTTCGGCAGTTGGGATGATTATTTCCAATATATGGAAAGTCATAATCCAGTCATGTTACAAGCCACCAACCAGTCATCATCATCATCTCCAAAGATCCACAAGTCCCATCTTTTCGTTGTGGATTTCCCTGCGCCTCTTTCACCAGTGCCTGGATGAGCTCTGGGGCGCTGGGGCCTCGGGAAGCACCATCACTAGGGATAGATGTGGGATATCGTACTTGTCACCAAGAGTATGATATGACAGATTTAACCATGTTTCCTGTTGCATGTTCATATTTCATCATATTTTCCCCCAAACAACAGGTCAGTTGGTTACTGCCAAGCTTAAACGATGGGCTAAGCCATAACTTGGAGGTTCAGATAGGTGAATGAATCGGAAAACCATAGGAACACCATGGAAAAAACACATGGGATATATCCAATGATCCATTCTTATCCCACATTCTCCCATATGAATGATGCGTTTTCCCCTGGTTTTCCCATGGTTTTCACCTACGTCACCACTGGGTCACCCTGGCCGTTCTTCTCCAGGAAGGATTCCCAAACGTGCAGAGCCACGCGACTGGCAGCGCTTCATTGAAACAGCGATGTTATTATAGTAATCATTGCTCATCATATGGGTGAATGATGTATGATATATTACAATGCTCTATTTCTATATATGAATGTTACTGTAACATTACTGTTTATTTCATTATTTAAATGTTACTTATCACCCACCAATATGATCATTATAATATGGTCATATGGGTGAAATCTACCACTTCCCCATGGGATCATGATGAGGCCTGCCCAAGCCACGCGCCTCTTGCATGGTTTGGCCACGTGTTTACGAAGGCGTTCCAAGACATCCGAGGGACAACTGTTGCCACAGAAACACTCCTGTAGCTAATTTGTGTTGGAAATAGCTAGGTCAAGGATTGGGTTTATGATGTGTCGAAACTGACTGGAGCTTCTACTTCAACTCAGAATACTGAAAGAACTTGCTTAGCAGATGAGTTCTGGGTGGCCACATTTAAACAAAATGTGATGGAAATCAATGGTTGTTTCCCTTGGAGACCTAGAAATGGTGGATATAACGGATATCCTTAGTTTATGGAATCGATAGATCACATGAAAAAGATCGGAACCATCAACCTTAGTTGTGGGAAGCCACCATATTGCGGGGTCTAGCGTTTGAATTCAATGACAGTTGGTGAGGGGAACTTCCAGTGCTATGGATGCTTCATGGATTTTCCAGCGGAACATTTGGGATTGATGAATACGGTGGATGGTTGCGAAATCCTGCACCAAAAGGATGGTTGAAGTCCCAAAAATAATGGGATGTTGACCGTTTTCAACTGGTGACCTGCAGCCGCCAAGGGACCAAGACTTGTCGTCCCCCAGAGAGTATGACAAATCATGACCCAAAGTGCCCCCCAATTTTTGCGGTGAAATCGAATTTCTTTGGCATCCAATTTTGGAAAATAACAAGTTAAACGCACAAAAATGTTTGCCGCGGAAAACGGTGCAAGAGCTCAGGTGTCACTACTGTTTGATCCCCGTCCTGGAAGGCATCAGCAAAGTCCCACCATTCAACTTTGGCCTGCGGCTTGGTGAACACATGGAGGACTAGATATCTAGTTGTCTCTATAACTACCCAGAGATTAATAACCATAGAGTCATGAATGGTAGATAAATGGTAGCGAACCATAGTAGTTAAATCTTGATAACTAGCCATGAATAGATACTGATGCAACTCATGGTTGATTACTACCCACCCAGTGGGTTTTGCCCACTTGTGGATGAATACCGCATGGAAGAAACATCTCAAACCGTGACTCAACGATGTATAACATAGTCAAATATAGAGGGGAAACTATAGACCCATTCAAAGAAAGAACTAATGCTTCGGGATGACCAAACCCCATGTACAATGTTTTTTTTTTTTTAATCTTATTTATCTTACTGGTGCTAAACGTAGGGAATGAGGGTATGATCCATTTCATCACTATCCATTTCATCACTATCAAATACCATCCCAGCAACCCCCAGCAACCCATCCATTCCCCACGTAAAACGCACCAGTAAGTTATTCAACTGGGTTTCTGTAAGCATAGGCTGCCGCGAAAATGAATGATTGGCCCGTCCCAGAATTTCAGGCACAACTAGCACCACATATACTGGTGACATATCGGAGAAGATATCACCAATGATAATCCGATGGAAAAAACAACATGGTTGATATTCCCACTGTATTCCCATGATATTTCCAAAATTTAGATGACATTCATATTCCATTTTTTATTGCTCATGATGATGAAATTTAGATTATTTTAGATTGATCCATGATATATCATGATATTTCCCCATGAATAGATCACTCGTGACTCACGATTGCCAGGAATGATCCCCGCCACCAGCAACAGGAAGTTCCCTGGGCTCCCCTGCGCTGGTTTGGAAGTAATGGGTCCAAAATTGTAGCGCCTGCTGCCTGGTGAATCCGGGCGTGGAGGGGTCAGAATGTTATATACATGTTATATAAATACACATTTTTCCCATTAAATCCCATTAAAATACCATTAAAAACCAATTAGTGTTATATAAATGTTACAATACATGTTATATATGTTTCAAAAAATAATCTATCACAACAATAGCAGTAGTATAATAATATGATACATGTTAAATATAAATGTTACTGGAATATCAATAAAATAATAACCATAGTATATCAATACAACCAATAAACAATGATCATGCTATATAAATGTGACTAGACCTGTTTGGTCAAAAATAGCTGAAACAATGCAACCTTATAAATATGTGTCTAAGAATACTATATATATTGGAGAATAAACCAAAGTAATAGTACTAAATGCAACCATGCGATCTGCACAATTGTAGAATTGTAGATGTCAATGAGAATTCCAGGATCCTAAAATGGAGGTACTGTGCCATTTTTCAGGCCATATTTTGGGGGTATATCCCCTTACATAGCCCTAAAAAATAGGCCTTATATATGGAATCGGTACCTCCAATTTGGGTTCCTGGAATGGCCATTGAAGATGGCATGTTTACAAACCGCCCTACCGGTAACTGCGATCAGCACCCATGGAGAGTTTTGTCAAGGCTGCTTTGCTCATCCCAGCCCAGAACCTGTTGGAGAGCTGTTCTGAAATCATGGCGAAACTTACGCCCAAAAAAACTGGCGATAAAATTTCCGAAATTGATGGCAACCAGTCAAAGTCTTCAACATTCAGCCCTTCACCAGTGGGTTTGCCAATCTCTTTCTTTAAAACCCAGATTTAAGTTCTCTATTTTCCTGGTTCCCAATCTTCCTCCAAAGCCCAGGACCCAACTGTCCAATCGGACCTATGAAGCTCCGCTTTCACTGCATCAAGGCTCTTTTTATTACCTCTGCATGGAACCGTCCGCCAGAGGGGGTTTCATCATCTTCCCAACCGAAGACTTCAACTTGGGGAGACCCTGAAGAAAAACAAACAAAATCCGCCTGTCGATTTTAGCGCCAAAAGGACCTTATTGTGTGTTCCCCCTATGCATCCCCATATTGTTGGATGTATTTCCATTGATGCACCCTTTTCCAAGAACACCAGGTCTTGGATACCTGGTAGGCAACCCCTTCCTTTGATAAACCCATGGGGCAACAGCTCATACCCTTAGGTCTGCTAACTTGACAATCAAACATCCACAATTTGCAATGAGAAAACCGAAGAAACGTCATGATTACTGGCCCCAAATGTTCCGTGGTTTTGCTGCCGCCATAGCCATAGTTTTACCACAGAATCCTCCCTCCCCGCTATAGTCATTGATATATACTTCTCCATTGACTCACGTATACGTACACAGTAATTAAAAAACAACATGGAATATGTACTACCAACCAGCATATTATCGCACAACACATCTCCATGAAATAGTATTTTTTTCACGGTTTGGCTAAATCGCCCTGACGCGCCCCATTTTTTGTTGGCAAAACATTCCCATGATATATCTATTTTCTTCATATTTGGGATGTATTGGGATATTTATAAACTTACTAAACGGTTTTCCTTGCAAAAAAAATGGTTGGGTTCGCGTGCGATGTTTGGGTATAAAATGGAGGCGCGCCTCGCGCGCGAACCCAACAACAATGTTAAGTTTAGGCACTTGCTGAGCGAGCAAAATATGATACATACTTCGTATATATATATAGTATAAACTAATGCGTCGTATATGAAATGTCATCAACCTGAAGAAACATGGAGGATTTAATGGGGATATAATGAGAGCAATACATGCTTTTTGGTTTATCCAAATGCGCTGGTTATAATTTCCATTCTCCATCATTTTCCATGATTCTCCACCATTCTCCATCACTATCATCGTTGTATCCCATCAAACATACCCAGATTCTGGGCAAGTTAGAAAAAATCACTAACCAATGTTCGGCCATAAAAGGGGATGATTTCCCGCAATCTAACCATGATTCCAGGCTTCGCGACGTGAGGTCGTGAAATAATTTACCCAGATAATTACATTCCATCTTGAAATAAGCCTGGTCACAAAGTCCCCATGCAGTGCACTGCATGGGATCCTCCAAGGAGCCTTGGAGCCTTGGGCTATGATTCCAAAATGCCATCATCCATCATTCGCCATCCTTACATAAATCCTCAAGGATGAAATTTTCACTGGGGCCCCCCATCACATTTTCTTGTTTATCCCATGGGATAGCTCAAAATCCCGTTGATCATCCATCATCCATCATCCCATCCCATGATCCCATCGAACAAATCACCGATTTTTCCTGGATAGTAAAATCCCCTATAATCAACCACCAACAGGGGTTTTGAACCTTGGTCAAATGACAATCGCAATATCACAATCCCAATTATATCCCGATGATACCCGATTGAATCCCATTAAATGTCATTCATTCATCAGTTTTGGTTGGCTAAATTGCATCAAACAATCCGGCATTTTGATTGTCAAAATGGAGGTTTCTTAAAACCAGAATCACCAGTTAGAGAAACCAGTGTCCATTCAGTGGCTTATCCCATTCAATGATTAACCCCCATAACAATGGGATAAGCCACTGAATGAAGCCCCACAACATAGGGTGTATTGTTATGGGGGTGCCATACATCCTCTTATAAACCCCCAAAACAATACCACCATGATCACGACCATGATCAAGATGATGATTAATGATCCCCAGATAACCCCTCTGGCAATTTTTTCACATAGCTGTGGTTTCAACCATCATATTTTGAGTAGGTAAAATCCTCTGTACAAACCGATCATTTTCCATAGCTATGTTAGTTTAAATATGTTCATAATGTTAAAATTTTAAACATTAAACATGGTATTATATATCTCTGTTTGTTTACTGGAGGGCAACCCCTATGTATTATCCTTCATCAATGTTTGTAATGATAGGTAAAATAAATACAAATATATAGTCTAATACTATATATGTATGCTATAAATACACACACACACACTATATATATATGTACATATAATGTCGGTCACATATCTATATATATATATATATTACCCCTCTAGGGTGTAATTACTATGTCAGAGGGGTGTAACATAGATACTATGTATAATATATAAAAACTCTAGTGATGATAATTAGACTACAATATTTTTACTATACAATCTATTTACCAATACTATTTATGTTCTATATACATCTAAACCCTTGGTATATCCCCAACTTTCGTCCGCGCCTGGCGAGGACAGGGCGGCGCTTTCACAGGCCTTGGCCGTGGCCACCTGCACTGCGCTGTGCCACTCCTCCAGGGCCTCTGCAAGATGGAACTCCATGGGAAAACCTTGAGAAACCTGTGGAAACCTATGGAAATCCATAGAACATGATGGTTTTTATGGTGGTTTTATGGTGTTTTGACATCATTTTAACCACCTAGAACATGATGGGTTTTATGGTGTTTTGACATAGGTTCCATGGTATTCCAAGATGCCGGGAATGAAAAGGGTAGACAAATCATTGCCATATGATGCCTGTATGGAATATGATACAGGCATGATCATATCTGGTTGGTGGTTGAGCCACCCCTCTGAAAAAATATGTGTTCGTCAGTTGGGATGATGGCATTCCCAACTGAATGGAAAGTCATAAAAATGTTCCAAACCACCAACCAGATATTCATATGAAGGAGAACTATCGATGGGAATACATCATATATATATATATATCGCTTAAGCAGCTGCTATCCCGGTGTCCCTTGTCATAGGTCATAGGAAGTCTTCGGCAGCTGCTGAACTTCTAAGTGCTGGACATTGGATGGCGGTAAAGAAAATGTTGGGAAACACGGATGACTTTGTGGATGAAACAGCAGGAACCGTTGTTTCACGTGGAATTGAAGATGGTTGGCCAAGTACAGTTGAACGAGGTTATTTTGAGATGTCGATACGAACAACTCGACCTCGCTAGAATTTTTAGTACATGGTTGATGTAGTTTAACGGGGAGATGCTTCAGGATCTCGTGTATCTCGCCATCTTGTAGACTGACAAATCCTTCTCACTGAGGGATCCAAAGACCTCAGGTACCTTCACGGTTACCATCTGGTTAAGACTAACAGTTCGCCATGGAAAGATCCACCCATTTTTAATAGGTAAACCATCTATAAATGGGCCATCTATACCATGGCTACGTTAAATAACCAGAGGGTAGTTACCATGAGTGAAAGTCACTCAAATCTTTCCCAGCATAAGTAGGGCATGAACCCTGCGTCCAAATCAGAAAGCAGCAACTCAGCGTGTCGAACCACGTAAGACTGGCAGCCACGTTAGACTCAACCGCAATCTCATCGTGATGGCTATGGGTACGAATTACGGGAATTACAAGGTTTCCAGATTCAACGTCTGGCTTTCCAGTCTTCCTTGTTATCCCACAGATTCTCGATTGGCACCATAAGCTTGTGAGGGAGCTGAAACAATAGGATACACAGTAACACAATTGGAATAGAACAAGTAATAATAACAAGTACAAGTCCCAACTTACCGTACTCCATTAAGTCACACAGTCCACCAACGTGCGATAGAACACCACAATCATCACTGGGCAAGCCTGGTGATAGTTCACTCCACCCAGAAGCCCCAATGCTGGCAAGCACAGATTCAGATCTTGATCCCAAAGGGAAGTTGATGACCTCAATCATTAGCAAAACGATTTTACGAACGGGGAGATAAATCAAGGACTTGGCCGTGGAAAAATACATTAAGAATGAACAAAGATAAATATAAATCAATCCATTGGGATATCCATACTATGCCAGCATGGGGCCGTGGATCATCTTGACAGCCTTCACATTACGACAATCATCAAACACATCTAATTCTCAAGACTCTCCCCAATTTTCCGGCATGTTTTTCATCATTATTTCCGTCCTTTTTCCTTTGCATCAGTATTTTCAACATGAAAAGGATGAAAAAGGATGGAACTATGTTGCATATCCTTTTATCAACACTTTAATTATACAATTACATCCTTTTTCAACCTTTTTTAAAACATATTTCCATATCAATATCATTGGAATTATATAATAATCAAAAACATCCAAAAACATGGTAACGGCGCGGATAAGAGGCCGTGCGGTGGTGTAAGATCGACATTCCATCATAAGTGTTCAATTTCAATTTCGTGAGGGTTTTTCAACATTTTCATCATATCATGGTGTTTTCAATGAGCTTAAAACCACGTAGTGTTCATCGAAAATATTGATTTTTGAGCGTTTTACCTCATAAAATGACATTTTTTAATGACAACCCTTGTTTCCGAAACTTTGTGTGACATGAATATTGACGTAAGAGAAACCTAGCAGTAGCGTCGCATGACGTATGTGTGGAAGTGCAAGAGAAACTAGCAGTAGCGTCGCATGATGTATGTGTGGAAGTGCAAGAAAAACCTAGCAGTAGCGTAGCATGACGTATTTGTGGAAGTGCAAGAGAAACTAGCAGTCGCAAAGAACGTTAACATCCCCCCCCACCCCCCCGCCCCCCCCCCCCCCCCCCCCACCCCCGCCACCCCCCCCCACCCGGTTCACAATCACAATGACAAGAAGAACACACAAAACCGAAAAAATGGAGACAGCACACGGCCCCTTGACAGCGCCGACACCAAAAACATATCAATATAAAACATATCAATAACATATCATACTTCCATTCAATTATTTGATAATCCGGTTGGTGGTTTCAACCCCTCTGAAAAATATGAGTTCGTCAGTTGGGATGATGGCATTTCCAACTGAATGGAAAGTCATAAAAGCCATGTTCCAAACCACCAACCAGTTACTAATGGTAGCAACAAACAATAATTTTCACAAGGATTCTACTAATAAAATGAACATCCATTTTAATGCATCATTTAAGTATTTGATAATTACCCTCCAGTAAACTAACATAGCTATTGAAAATTGTCATTTATACTTGATTTACCCATTAATAATGGTGATTTTCCATAGCTATGTTAGTTTACCAGAGGGTATGTTGTACAACCTTTTATTTTCACCCCCTGGATTCGGCGCGCCTGTTGATGGCGTCGTTGGAGCAGCATTTGCCCCATGCCCTGGGCCAACATCTGCTGTGCAGGCTGCGCCCAAGGACCTGACGGGTCAAAAAACCCATGGGTTTTCCGGGTTTTGATGGAGAAAACATGGGAAAACCCTGGGGAAATCCATTGGACATGTTGATTTTTAGGGTGTTGTGGGGGATTTTAAATGTTGAACAACTGGGAAAACACAGTAAAATGGTTGGGGTTGGTGAAACATCGAGATTCCAAATGTTGATTGTGATTTAATGTTAAGGTGTGATGATTCTTGGATGGAAATCCCAATGTTTTAATGTTCCAATGAGATTTTGACATCATGTTTTCAGGTTGAATCAATCACATTGGGATTTTCAACAGAAATTTTCACCAACCTTAGGGATTTAATGATCAGATGTGGATATGGAGGGAGATTGGGGGTCAAATCTACGGAAAACCGCGAGGTTGGAGACATCTCTCAACAGTTCTCTGAGTCAACTTGGTATCCTCCCATTTTATATCGCCGGGGTTCCAAACAAGTCATTTGCGCAAAATAAAAGGAACATGATTCGAATCGGCAAGATTATGCCTACTGGCCATCTAACATAGCTATGGAAAATGGTTTGTTTGTAGATTATCTACCTGTTTAAAAATGGCGGATTTTTCCGTAGCTATTTTTTTAGATTATCAGAGGAAGGTGGCCCCCAGCAATCTTCGTTGGTTGATAAACCAGTAGCCAATAAATATAAATATACACATATATATATAAATATTAGCTTTATGGTAGATATATCTATAGTTGATGGGGTGCCCAAGACTTTCTGTAGAACTGGGCACTGCCCTCTCCGGAATCTCTACTGATGTATGGCTCGCAATTTTCTGGTGGGGTTATGATCACCGGATGCCCATCCAAGTCTTGACCCAAATCTTCACCACTTTCATTCATTTCAAACCTTTCACAAATCACCAGAATTTCGCCGAATCGAATGTAACACCAGATCTTTCACCAAAACATTTCACCAGATCTTTCTTTCACATCACCAAAACTATGACTTTTTCGTTTTTTTCCCCCGCAGAAATCATCGATTTCACCCACCCAAAAAGCCGGCGATTCCGGCGCCTGTGAGTGACAGGTTGGCCGCGAAGCTGCTTGCCGAGACCTCCAGGAGGTTCATCAACTGCCTGGCCGCCAAGTCGTCATGGCATAATATGTGGTTAATATGTGGTTAATATACTGTTAATAATGGTTAATATATGGTTATTATATGGTTTTTATATGGTTTTTATATGTTTAATGATGGTTAATAATAACCTGGTTGGTGGTGACTTAACCATCTTGAAAAATATGAAAGTCAATTGGGAAGGATTATCCCATATATGAAATGGAAAATAAAAAATGTTCCAAACCACCAGCCAGAATATTTGGCACTGCTAGTTTCAATTTTGGTAGCACCATTTCTGGAAATATACTAATCATTTTCACCCCAAAAACCTACTGGACATTGATGGGGATTTGAATAATGCATTTTTATATATCATAACATAACTATGGAAATGGTCATTTATAGTTGATTTACTCATTAAACATGGTGATTTCCCATAGTTATCTTAGTTTACCACAGGGTACCTCCCTAATAAACTGCTAGTTTCCTTCAAATATCCTGGGCTGACACTGGCTCCTTGGGCTCCTTGGCTCCCTCCGTTCACCTCTGGAAGGTGTGTCCTTATATCATTGGGTCATTGATATCATACAAACCATGTATAATATATTATTGTACAAGTATATGTATAATTCCCAATGGTCTAATAATGGTATAATGGTGGTTTCTATCATGGTATAAACCATGGTAAAACAATGGTATATTATATAATATTGTACAAGTATTACACCATGTAGAAACCACCATTTAGACTGGACTTTCCAACTCCATTTACCATAATAATAAGTTCTAATCTTATTAAATCACCCTTTCTTCCATCATCCATTTATTCCAGATCCATAAAAAAGGTTTAACCATATTGTAATAATGCTGATTAAAAATGACTGAGGACTAGTAATAACTTTCCCATGATCTACGTACATGATATATATTTTGTTCATATTCATTTTTGATCTACATCTGGTTGGTAGTTTCAACCATCTTGAAAAAATAGTCAGTTGGGATGATTATTCCCAATATATGGAAAAATGTTCCAAACCACCAACCAGTGTATATTTATTGATCAATGAACCGTGATTTTTCTATTTCATGGGGAATGGAAAATCCGCCTGGAGACCATCCGCAAGAGGGCCCAGTCGCCCTTCACATCCAGGAAGACGAAGTACATATAGAGTTCCTTGGTTCGGTGGTTTTGAAATAACATCGCGGCAAAGATGGGCAAAAACTGGGCACTGGGATGAAAAGTGTGTATCTATAATTAGATGGTGAAAAGTGTGGCTTTTAATGGTTTTTACATGTCTTTACAGCGGGACTATCCATGTCCCCCCAAGGTGATTTTCACAGCGTTGCTGGGCGTTGCTTCAAAGATCTCTTTGAAGCGTTGAGCCATGAAAAAAATGGCAATGTCATTGGGGACCATCAGCACAGTCATAGGGGTCGACATCAAACATGTTAAAAACCACCAATTGTTTATAACTATAGTAGATGAGACCATGAAAGACATGCGAAAACGACCGACCCCCAAATTGACGAAACTAATCTCCGACATTCTTGCTGGTAAAATCAACAAAGCACACAGGAATGGATGAATGGATCATTGATCCACCACCATGCACCATAGCAGTGCCCAGATTCAATATAAAGTCTAAACTGGCTTAATTTAGCTACCGCAGTGACAATCTTCAAATTTCATCTCGGATTGGGAGTTCTCCCTGGTAAGGGAAGACACGCTCAAATGGGTGTGGAGATGGAGAGCCTCCAAACATACCATTCAAATGGGAATGAGGATCAGCATGGATCAGCGAATTGTTGGCTTCCTCTCTTTGAAAAACACCCATCTCCTCGACAGCTCTCGGCCAAGTCGCCCAAATTTCTTTGCAGCGGCGGCGAAAGGCCTGGACGACGTGGTTTCGATGACGGGTGGGATGAGTTCATCGACATCTGAAAAATGGGGATTCAAGATTTGAAGATGTAGACATGATTTAATTAACTGGTAAGCTGGTTGCATATGGGTATTTCATGGGGATTTCACAGGGTGTACCTCCAAAATGGTAATTTCCACAGGGGCATCTACGAAAAAAGGGTGGTTTCGTAGGTAACAAGTGGAAAAGGAGATTTGCCCGAGGGCAACTTAGGATTTCAGGACCAAAATATGCCAAACTTACCAAGGGGATTTACATCAATCCGACTTGATCCCAGTTCTTCCCATGTGCATATCCCATATGCTGGTTAGCAAGGGGGATTGAAAACCAGCAGCTTTTTTCTGATTCATGTGGATCATTCACAGTGTTGCGATTCTCACATAACCACCCCTGGTAATCAACATGGCTTGCTGGAGAAATTTCCCCTATAAATCCCTATGTTTTTGTTTGTTGATTGCCCAGTTAAATGATGTTAAATGCTCATTCGCTTCGGGCATTTCCCAGAAAAACCAATGGCTTGCTGGCATCGCTGGACATCAGTCAACTGCAGGAATCGCTGTCCAATTTCTTGCATCACAGTTCTATTCAAGGTTCCGTCTCAACATCACAATATGTATTATGCACATAAATCTTACAACAATATGTATTCTGTATGCACATAAATCTTAAAGTCTTAAATTCTACACATACTGCGCATCCAGAAGTCACTGGCTCTGGCTCGGGCGTTGCCGAGATTTCAACGCCGTGATTTATAAAAAACTGCTTCATGGCCATGGGGGGATAACCCATCTGGTGGATTGACTGGAAACTGTTCCCAGTTGAGTTACAGGTGGATAAGCCTAGTGATTGAGTTGTATTGACTATCTGGGGGCAACAAATTTGACATTCATCATAAGTTACAGAAGTTGTCAGACTTATCATATACTGCAGCAACCTCCTCCCAGAACGACGAACAACGTAAATTACAATTTTTCTGGAATTGGATTTTAAGTTTACAACTTTCAGAAACAACTATTAATAGCTGGCTAAAGGATGTTTTTTCCCCCCAGTCATATGGCAATAGTAATATCATAAGGTTTTGACCCATCCCCAGCGACTACTCACCACTACCCCGCTCGCCTCAATGTCGCTACGCCATTGGTTCAGCAAACCTTCCTGCGGCGCAGCTGGTGCTTCCATAAAAATAACATAACCATGATGGGAAAAGATATGGATGTTAAATATAGAACTTTTTTTTTAAAAAAATGATAACAAATCCATGAAGAAAACAACTCAAGAAAACACGGGGGACATTTTGTTGGGTTCTCGGGTGAATTTTCGGCTTCCCATGGGATTTTCGTAAACTTTATCGGATTTCCCTTAAATCATTGGAGAAACCATTTTGCTCCAATGGTATCCATATGGGTTTTGGTGGTTTTATAACACCCTACGATCTACGAATCCATATGGGCTTGTCTTCAAATTTCTGTGCCCCTAAATCAATTGGTTACTCATCAGTTTCCCTATTAAAACAACCGTTTCAGTCCTATATATGCCAAATAAAAACCGTGCACCTCATACCGAACTAATGGTTGACTACAGCCTTTTTTCCGGGCCATATAAAATCCATCAGAACCCATAAAAATCTATTCAAAACACCATAGAAAAAACCAACAAAAATCTATAAGTTTTCCAAATAAATCCCAGAAAACACCATAGAAATCCTGCATCTTTGCCCCGCTCTCCGCTAACCTCCCCTTTGTCATTGAGCCGCCTCTGTGAGAAGCGGCTCAGTGGAGGGGCCGATGTCCTGCGATATGGCCATGATGTACAGTAAAAAATGACAATGGCTATAAACAACAGGCTAATGACGGTTAACAACAGTTAATAGTGATGAATAATTCTGGTTAATCATGATTTTCATACATGATCATCTATGGATTTCATAACATGTCCATTGTGAAATATGGCTTAATATGGTGTTTATTTATCTATCAGTTTAATAGCAATGGATATAGCCAACAGGCCAATGATATTAAGTTGTTGATGGTTAACAACTGACTGTGGTTAATAGTTGTTAATAGTTGTTAATAGTTGTTAATAATGGTTAATAGTCAATTCATCATAGATTTCCTTGCTACAGCAACCCAATGATGCTTAACAGCCGTTAACCATGATTAATTAGTGTTAACGATGATTAACGTGGTACACGCCATAACCCATCTCCACACTAACCATTTTTATGGGTGGTGGAAACCATCCCCAAATGGTAGGATTATTATTGTGTTTACCACTTTAAACAACTAGTTTTCAATGATTTAATGACAACCAACTGCGTTGACTGTGGTTCTGTGTAATCAGTCAATCTAGTCGTGGTCCTGGTTACATAGAACACACACACACAGTCTCTTTCTCTCTCTCTCTCTACATACACATTGTTATACTTATGCCCATAACTATTTGTTAAATCACGAATACGAAAAGTGGTTAACAAACATGGATCTAACTGTTGATTATTTATCCAAGCATCACTAGGTTATAAATGGTTTATGGAATATTGATGGAATCTAACATACAACAAAATTAGCAGGGAATGGATGGTTGCTGGGGGTTGCTGGGATGATTATTACTAGTGAGTATGGATCATTCCCTCATTATATATTGTAATATATACAATAAACAATCAGCTGATTGGCGATTTCTTTGCGATTCCACATCCTGAAACACCAATCAACACCATGGGACACCTTTGGGGCAGCTGGCAAGCCATGATCTGAACGAAGCGAGAACTCGTTTCTGTTTAAAAAAACACCGGAAAAGAACTGTGACCCAAGATGACCCCCAAAAAATTCACCATTCAGTGCGAATTTGATTTATAATAGCTATGGCTATGGCAAAACCTGTTGGTTGCGAATATGTTGTTCGGTGAACAATTTTGGAAGACCACGGAAGACCACTCCCCACGGTTATCCCATTGTACCTCCCCATATGGTGGGTTTGATACCCATATCCATCATTTATGAGTTAAATATCCCTATAATTTTCCTATCATAGATGAAATTCGAATTGATTGATGGAATCAATCAACATTTCACCATTTCACTGGTTCTTGATGGTAATGATTGCGGTAATTATGTCGAAATTGAAATTTTCATATCAATATCACTATCAATAAATTACGAATAATGACAATTGTTTATAGCAATATCACTATTGATAGTGATACTAATTATGGCAATTATTTTTCCTTCAGCTCCTCCATCAGCTCCCTCCATGCACCCTGGGCCTTGCAAAGACACACAATGGCGCCCTCGACGTCACGGACGAAGCGGGACATTGCTGCCTGACGGGTTTGGAACATCGATGACAAAGCCATGGGCTTCTGCTGGCATTGATGTTCCATTTAACAATGAATAAAGGGATCTAGCCATCAAGAAATGGAATTCAATGCATCAAGATGATTTCATCAACATACGCATCATTCGATATGTCAATATCTGCGTCCGATGATCGGATCAAGCAATTTGCGGTGGGCCGTTCTTGTGGCCGTTTCAGCCGCTCCGGGGGGCACAAAAGAAGTGACCTTATGGTGGGTCGATCAGCAAAAACCCATTGCCATATCATAGCTAGTTGCTCACAATAAGAAGTTTCAAATATAGTACATCTTGCTTACTATCGCTAGTTGATCTAGTGGTTCAGACATATGTGTTGTACATTCTTCTATACGTATTTCATATTTCATACAAGGTGGTGACTCCTAGCTATTGGTTTAATGAACACCATAAACTATAGATACAGCAACCATAAACATCCATAAACCATAGGTAACCTAGTTATAAACCAACTTAGCTAAGTAGGAGACACCCAAAATCCATTGTTCAGTGATTCAACCACCATTTTTCATGGTGAAACCACATCCATTGTCCCATCTCCGACTTCGGCTGGCGCCTCATCGGTGTGCACCAGCAGGGCGAACTGCAGCCGCAGGTCCGGGGCCTCGCCCAAGTTTGATCCATCAACGCGTTAGATCCATCATTTTTCAGAAATGGATCTGACCATTTTGAATCAGATTCTCCCCAAAAAAACATGTTGGATCCATCATTTCTCACGGATCTTCATGTTTCCTCAGATTTCCCATGAAAACCCATGGGGCTTTTGCCCAACGACGGCGACCTTTAAAGGTGGCGCCTTGGCGCCCTGGACGAACTCCGCCGCCGCGTGCAACGCGGCGGCGACCAGGGAGGATGTTGGACCGGTGCGTCGGTCCAACCCCTGCCACGCCACGGGGTTCCGTGGAGGTTTCGGCCATCAATAAATGGTGATTCATGGTGATCGAAACCAATAAACATGGAATTTATCCGTTGAAATGCACCCAGTCAAATAAACCAAAATTGAAATGAGTTATAATGGTGATTTAAACCAACCATTTGATGATGGTGGTGGTGATGATATAAATGTGACTTGATTAATCATCAATAGGGATTTCATGCGAGATATTTCGGGTATCCAGCCTGTTAATGGGTGGGTTCAATCCATTGAAATTAACATAAATAAACCCATTTAAAGCCAAAATAGATGTGAAATTTCATCATTAACTTAATTAAATTTAATTAAGTTCAATCCATCAACATTTCCATAATCCATTTTTTTCCGCTTTGCCGGCCATTAACTTGCCAGTTTCATGGTTTCACTAGTGATATTTCGGGGATTTCGTGGAAATGTTTTTTTTTTTTGAGGTGCCCATAGCTGATCATTGGCATCACCTTGTGTCAGGAAGGAGATTGAGCCCATAAACTCAGAACATGGCAACAATGAATGCTCTAAACACCGTATTTTCTCGTGATTTTATGCAGGCATAATGGGATATTTCATGGACACGCACTTGAATTGAAATAAACGAATGATCAACCTGATAAAGACCAACTTCGTGTTCTTTGCAATACTTATTTGGTAAACCATCGGATATAATATTGAGTATGTAAGGATTTGGCTTTTCCATTTTACCGTGCTAGTTGTTGATATAGATCTATAGTTATTTGGTACCAATACACCATGTCATATGTGATGATCAACTTATTGACGAAAAAATACTGGGATATGTAATCTATGTTGAAGTCGTCTTGCAGGCAATGTCAGACAGGATGGAAACTTCCAATGCTTCAATGATTCAATGAATGATGTGGGTCACAACCCAGCCACCATTTTGTGGCACCTTAAGCAACCCAGCCTGGGAGATTTTATTGGATAGAGATACATTTTTAGCCAACTTCATATGGAGTTTGAACAACGATCCCAGGTCAGCATGGATATACCAGCTGTCAAGGGAGGGAAGGCCTAGGCAACGCAGAACAATAGATGTGAGTGAGGGCGCCTTTCACTCAAGTGTCTTCTGTAAAGCAGGGGATTCATCAGATCACTGGGCAAATCTTAACTTTTGCGCCGGCCAAGGACCGAGGTAAATTGTGATCTTATATCTTTGCGAAACGGAAACGGCGATTTGGCCATGAAAGGTGAGGAGCCAGGGCACTGGGTCAACATTTTCAGATGTTCATCCCTGAACCAGATGCCAACTGCCAACATCCAGGTGTGGGCTGAAGCGGTGAATTCATCAGATTCCATGGATGATCACCACATACCACCACTTAAAATGGAAAGGTTATGGAGTTAGATCTTCTAATGGTCTCACTTTGCTGTGGAACATGCCCTATCTATGGATGATTGACCTACATGTACCCAAAAATATACCTATTAAAAGCATGGTGATTTTCCATAGCTATGTAGCTGCAATGTAGCTATGTAAAAAAAACCAGAGGTAGTTTTTTGTATCAGCTGAATCCTGAAAATGGAAGTTTTGGCTCTCAGTGATTGCAACCGGCCTCGTTCCGGATGTGTTCTACCATGGTTTGTATCCCATGGTTAGGGCCCCTGAGTTTGTGATAACCTATATACACATAGTAAACATGGAAAAATAATATACACATAAATATTTTGTGGGTGTGAGAGACTATACTTAGTACATATTCTTGCTATTTCTTGCTTATATTTTGGGATATATAACTTTTTTTTTGCACTAACCCAAGTACTCTTCACCTTGCTTTTCCCATTCTATGGCTCATCTGCCACGCCTCATAGATGATAGACCAGGAGCCGCCCAACGGGCGGAACAGTGGAGAAGCCTCGCGCCGCGGTTTCTGTCGAAGCCGAGAGCACCAGAAATGGATGGTTTATAATGGAAAATTCATCTATACATGGATGATAATGGATGATTTGGGGGTGTCCCATTTTAGGAAACCACAATTTTTGTTAAGACATGCTAAAAACGCGTAGTTTGATAGTTTTTACTAGCCGCAGCCCATATAAAACCCTAAAGGTGTTGACCAGGAAAAGCTAGAAACAAACATCCGAACAATGCTTCTTCTTCGTGTTGGACTCCGTGAGCCTGACACAAGCAAAGCCACAACTTGCCACATATGGCCGTTTCTGTTGATTGGCAATCGACAGAAAACCGGTTTTTAAAAACCCCAAATTGGGTGCGAATAATTTCGGATATCAACAACCATAGGTGGCTTGTAAATGGGGAAACTTCCCTGACTTGCGATGATTTTGGGACCACCAAAAAGGTTTTCCGATCAAAACTGGGGTTTCCCATGGCCCAAACCGTGCGTCGGGCAAGCGGCAAGCAGGTGAAAATCTGAGGCCCGCAGCAGAGTATCCTCTTCTCCCCACGTCATCGCAGTTTCTCATCGGGATGAATATTGCTGATAAATACAAATACCATTCCATATGATCCCATTGTCAGTGAGAACCATCAGCCGCACTGAAAATGAAGCCATCGTGGGCGATATGCCCTCCTTCTCAAGTTCTCCAAATTTGTAGAACATCCAATTTTAGGGCTGGTTCTATACATGTCAACTCCGGATTAATAAGCCACAGTTGTTTTTTAAGGGGTTCCCAAATAGTGACCGATTGCTGTCGAAAAAAAAACGATTCCCATCAATAAAACAGACTTTTATGAATCCTTGGTTGCGGGTTTTCTTTTTAACGGTTCTTCTTCAGCTATATCTCCACTATGCGGTTTAGTCATTCCTTTTAGTGGTAAAACTACAGGGGGTCCCTTTACAACCCATATACTATCCGGTAATCAAACATGGCAATGGACAATCTCTTTTTCATAGATGACTTCTCCAGCTATAAGCCTTCATTTAGTTTGCGTATTATCCAGCCAGCCACGTTTGATTACCAAGTAACCCTAATTGTTGGTAATATATCCCATATTATCCGATTGTATCAGATTATCTTCCCATATAATTCCTGTCGTAGTTCCCACTATCCCTCTATTTGATGGGATCATCACCTAAAAATCACCATTCTTGTTGTTGGTTATATATCCCATTATATTCCCATTACATCCATAATATCCCCATGATACCCTCTGGTAAGCTAACATAACTATGGAAAGATCCACCATTTTTAATGGGTAGATCCACTATTTCTATGGCCATTTTCAATAGCTTTTTGTATGTTTACCAGAGGGTAGATGGTTGATTTTCCCATGTTTGATTTGAGGCGATCCCCATAGATCCACCATGAGATCCCCACGTGTTCCGTGGCGCCTGGTTGCCGCAGGACAACTGCAGCAATGTGGTGCAGGCTGTATAGGCTTCATCCTGGGCCATGTTGGTCAAATATTTATCCACAGGGGGAAGATGTATATACCTAATATGGGAATACGTGATATGTCTATCTGTCTATCTGTCTATCTATCTATCTATCCATCCATCCGTCCGTCCGTCCGTCTCTCTCTCTCTCTCTATCTCTCTATCTCTCTATCTCTCTATCTCTCTATCTATCTATCTGTCTATCTATCTATCTATCAATCTATCTATCCATCTATCCATCTATCTATCTATCTATCTATCTATCCATCCATCCATCCATCCTATCCATCCTATCCATCCTATCCATCCTATCCATCATATCCATCCTATCCATCCTATCCATCCTATCCATCATATCCATCCTATCCATCCTATCCATCCTATCTATCCTATCTATCCTATCTATCCTATCTATCCTATCTATCCTTTCTATCCTATCTATCCTATCTATCCTATCTATCCTATCTATCCTATCTATCCTATCTATCCTATCTATCCTATCTATCCTATCAATCCTATCAATCCTATCTATCCTATCTATCTAATCTATCCTATCTATCCTATCTATCTAATCTATCTAATCTATCTAATCTATCTAATCTATCTAATCTATCTAATCTATCTAGCTATCTAGCTATCTAGCTATCCACCTATCAATCTATCTATCTACCTATCTATCTCTCTATCTCTCTATCTACCTATCTACCTATCTACCTATTCATCTATCTATCTATCTATCCATCCATCCATCCATCCATCCATCCTATCCATCCTATCCATCCTATCCATCCTATCTATCCTATCTATCCTATCTATCCTATCTAATCTATCTAATCTATCTAATCTAATCTATCTATCTAATCTATCTATCTAATCTATCTATCTAATCTATCTATCTAATCTATCTAATCTAATTAATCTATCTATCTATCTATCTATTTATTCCCTATCTATCTTATCTATCTTATCTATCTATCTCTCTTATCTATCTATCTATCTATCTATCCTATCTATCCTATCTATCCTATCTATCCTATCTATCCTATCTATCCTATCTATCCTATCTATCCTATCTATCCTATCTATCCTATCTATCCTATCTATCTTATCTATCTATCTATCTACCTATCTATCCTATCTATCCTATCTATCCTATCTATCCTATCTATCCTATCTATCCTATCTATCCTATCTATCCTATCTAATCTATCTAATCTATCTAATCTATCCAATCTATCTAATCTATCTATCTAATCTATCTATCTAATCTATCTATCTAATCTATCTATCTATCTAATCTATCTAATCTAATTAATCTATCTATCTATCTATCTATTTATTCTCTATCTATCTTATCTATCTTATCTATCTAATCTATCTAATCTATCTAATCTATCTAATCTATCTAATCTATCTAATCTATCTAATCTATCTATCTACCTATCTACCTATCTACCTATCTACCTATCTACCTATCTACCTATCTACCTATCTACCTATCTATCTATCTATCAATCATAATATGCATATATATATACATATCTATTCATCTATCCATCTATCCATCTATCCATCTATCTATAAATTATAATATGCATATACATATATATATATGTATATCTATTCATCTATCGATCTATTTATTACCCATAATTGTCACATTAGTGATATGAAATATGTATTTGGCTATTTATCTATCAGATTCATGTTTATGCATCTAAACAAACCTATCTAGAACTATCTAGATTCATCCTGGGTTTAGTCTTTGACCTGTTGGGTCTTTAATTCCATCTATGTCTCTATCTATATGGACACGGTGTATTTAAAGATGTAAAAATGAATTAAATGTACGTACCATATACATGCGCAAGGTGCACTTGATCTTTTTTCAGTGTATGTCATTTGAACATTTGACTAAATGAGTGGCCAAAGCCACTCCAAAACTTGGATGATGAAAAAAAATCCCGTTCGATATCCATTTCACCTTTTTCTTCAATGAAATCCCCAATTTTGGTATTTTTTTGATATTTTCCACTTTTTTCCCGATTTTTTTTTCACGAATTCCCATGGAGATCCAACGTTGCTGGGCTCGCCGGCCACACGGTTTTCTCTTTGACCTGGACCGTGAAATCGGAAATTTCATTCGCTGGTGTTATCCCTTAGCTAAAAGACCATCTATAAAAATATATACATAGCATCAAAATACATCAAATAGCTAATGAAATTTCTATCTTGATCTATCTCTACCTTCAGTTCTATCTTTATCTATTTTTTTGGGTGTGAAGCAGTTCACTTGGGATATCTCTAGTCAATTCAATTTCCCTGGAACCCGTTTCCCCCTGGCCAGTGAAAGATGTTGAGGATCTTCAATGTTTGGGTTCGCCGATATTTCTTGGGATGTATCATCATTAACATTGGGGGATGACCAAATCTGAAGGGAATTCTTCAATATGTTCGATATCCGGGGAATTGTTGATCAATCATTTACCAACTTTATCAATTGGTCCCACCAACAATCTTTTTTGCACCTTTTTTGGCAGTCAGATTTTTAGTTCGAGGAAATCGATCAAACATGGCATTTCCGGCACCAATCTGTGACGCCGGTGTCATGCTTCCATATCATTCCACGGGACATCCGACGCGTGAAACATGTCATGTGAATAGGTTAAAGAACAATTCAGGGAGGATTCTCAGAGGAAAGCCTCGATCAGAGGAAAGCCTCGATCAGAGGAAAGCCTCTATTTTTCACCCTTTCACCATCCAAAATGGCAGCAGCAAATGCTAAACAAAAACCACCGGGACCGAGTCTGGCCGCGCCTGTACTGGAGGCATCCTTTTTTCGTTTAGCCTGACAGCATCTCTGGGGAGGGTGGGATGGAGAGAGCGGGACACATACCTGGAGGCTTTCTCCTCGCTACAATCCTTGGAGATATGTTCCATACAACATTTGCCCTCCAGTAATAGGAACATCATATGAAAACTCACCACATGTTGGAACTCTCTGCATATCTATAGCAATTAGCTGTAAGGATAAAAACTCCAAAGTGAGTGGATGTAGATTGGCGATACGTGGATGGAGACCTGCTAGGCCACGACCCAAACGGGAAAGCAGCCGTGTGGTTTCGAGCCCTTTCAGATGTATTTAAAAAGAATCAGCAAATCAGGAAATTACATGATTTATCTAAACTATCTGTTAATTATCTATTCTTTTGCAATTTCTATTGACCATAGGAATAAGAACCATCAAATCTATCATCAACACCCCCAAATAGTTCCTAAACATATAGAAGTTCGTAAATCCCTATTGAAATAGTGGTTAATCACTTTTCGGCATCTTTTTGGTCAGATTCTCAGACTAAATCTCATCATCAATATGGTGTATTTCAACTTATTTACTTGCTTCATCTAGGTTGCTTGTATCTATATCCCATAAAGCATCCCCATTCTCCTGTGAAATATCATGGGTTCTGAAAATATGGTGACCCTCAAGACCCTCAGCAAATCCATTGCTTCTCATTCTCCCAATCTCAATGGCTGAGATTTCACCCTAGTTCCAGTGGGTTTGTGTTTAGCGGCTGACTTGTTTAGCTGAAAATGTGGGTAACACAATTTCAAAAACTATTCCCCAGTCAGAAAACCATGTTTATAGGTGGTATAAACTTACCATTCCCAGGAAAATGGGTGGTTTATGATTGTTTTAACCACATTAGACATTTTAGAATCCCAGAGCGACAAACCACAGTTAATATAGTGAAAAACCCACACAATCCCATAGTTTTTTCTTTCTCATGATCATCTGAAAATGGAGTTGGATACACTACCATTAATGATTAATGGTGAATAAGGGTTAATAACTAACCATATTAATGGTTAGTTGGATACACTACCATTGCTTGGTCAATAACTCATATCTTTTTCCCACAAGTCCCGACACGACACAAAAAACCGTCGAAGTGTCGACCTCCTCAGACGGCCTCACGAGGCCTTTAAGCCACGTCCTGCGCCGAGAAGTTCCACCGGACGAAAAGTGGATGAGAAGAAATGGTAAACCATCATAATATATGGTTTATATGCGGTTAATATACTGTTAATAATAGTTAATATATGGTTAGTGATGGTTGATAACAACCTGGTTGGTGGTTTTAACCATCTTGAAAAATATAAGTTCGTCAATGGGAAGGATGACATCCCATATATGAAATGGAAACTAAAAGTCATGTTTGAAACCACCAACCAGATAGAACATATTTTTCAATAATTAACATTTCGTAAATCATCTGTAATAGTAAGAATAGTGGTTGATGAGTAGTAATTGATGTTGATGAGATATCATTAGCGAGAAATGTAACTGATAATTAGTGACTGACAGTTCTTGTTTCCGAGTTTGAAACATATAACACTGTTCTAGTGGTTCTGGTTCTTGTCTTTTTTTGGATATAGAAGAACTAGTATGATGTAACTATGAGTCAATGTAAAACAAATGTAATATATGTTGTAACAATTTTGGACTTGAATGGACATTTCATGGGATATCCATAGTGTAGGTTATCTTATGGGATACAATTATATATTATCATTACTACCATTATTACGATAATTATAAGTGTATATACATATTATATGTAAGAAACTCAATGGGATTTGAATTTAATCGCCAAGTATGGTCCTCATGGAGCCCAGCCTGTCCCGTCCGGTCCTCATTTTCACCATTTTTGTGAAACTTTCAGCGTTTTCCCTTTTTTGAGGGAACTGTTCAGGTTGGTACGTTGCCGTCGAAGCGATGAAACCGTTCTTGTCTGGTCATGTTCTGCGCACTATCATTGCTGTTGTGACTAGCACCGCTTATTTGCATATTTATATATATATATTCTTTAGCAAGAACTGTGGCAAGTCATGTGGAACTGTCATTCCATCATTTTGGTGGCGATATACTCCATATATTCATATGATATAGATCAAATTAGATCAGATTAGATCAATGTGAATATTTGACTGATCTGACTCAATATTGTTTTTGGTCTTCGCTTCGCTACGCCACTAGCGCTGCGAGCTCCGCCAGCAACCTGGGACCGGCCCGCTTTGATCCGGGAAGAACCACAGCATGGCTGCTATATAGACATTATCCTTTTTTTTTACATAGACTACATTTGTAGTGCAAAAAAGACAATGCTATATTAATGTTACACCTATGTATATTATATATTTACATAGCTATATTTGTTAGATTTCAAGTGTAAAGATGGTAGGCCACAGACCGAAGTCATCCCAGTCATCCCATCGTAGGTTTTCGTGGATATAGTTGTACCCATAAAAAACTCCAACTACACCCAAATCATATTAAATAGCATATAATGGCATATATGTATAAAGTATACGTATGTAACCGTATATATCATATATTTGCATACAATGCCCTCTGGTAATTTACCATAGCTATTGAAAATGGCCATTTATAGTGAGTTTTCCCATCAAAATGGTGGAGCTTTCCATAGTTATGTTAGTTTACCAGAGGGTATCATACAATCCCTTTCCCCATCTTTCCCCAATATTGAACACCCCATGGAGGCGTTGGACCAGTGCTGTTTAAACCATGGGACCTTGGCTTCGGGGGGTATTAACCATTTAAACCACCAGAAGTTGGAGATAAACCCTACAGCTGGTAACATGGTAAATAACCACTAAGTGAATATATAAGTGGTTCATTAAGGTGTTACAACTATAAATTAATATTCAGTAACCACTTATAGCTGGAACTGCACCAAGTATTCACCAACTGGGGACCAGTTTCTCATTTTGCAACAAGGGAAAGTCAACTGTTGATTTCACATGGTTTCCTAAAGCCAACATCCCCAAATAACCATCCATTAAATTGTAAGAAAAACATGAAAACTTGACATTTGATGTTGCTTCCACAAAAAACAGTTTTATGTTCTCGAAACTTCTGGTTTTTTCGTGAACAAATGGGTGGTCAAAATTGGAGTACTTCAATACATGATTAATATTCAACATTGCCCTCTGGCTATTTAACATAGCCATGGGAAATGGCCCATTTATAGAGGTTTACCTATTAAAAATGGTGATTTTCCACGGCGAAATGTTGAATGACTAGATGGTAATACGAAAACCTGCGGGTTTGTTCCCAGGGACACAACCATGAATTGACTCCCCAAAGCCAGGACACTGCGCTCTCTGACAGTCGTGGCCTTCAAACGTTCTCCGCGCTAATTGCTCCACCTCGGGGACGGCCATGGCGCGGCCATGTCGCGGCCACTGGGGAGCATCCGGGAGTCCAAACGCGGAGTCTATTTGGGATGAGAATGGGAACAGCTGGTGTATATATCATGGGATTATTGCTATGTTAACTATCCGGGATTCTTGCTATGTACTGATTATTTGGGATTATAATAGGATTCTATTAGGATTAGAATGGTGAAACCTGGATATATTTGGAAAATAATGGGGAAGGCATCAAAGGGGAACTAACACCCTAGAAATATATATTTTTTTACATTCTTTTTGGGGACCCAACCATTTTGATACATTTTGGAGAGATCAGTTGGACTGCGGAATCGAAGGTAGTAGATTTGAGTTCAAACCGGTGAGAGTTGGTGTGAACTGGAGATATTCTTGGGGTAAAACTCCGGATGATTTTGGTGTACTGACGATCTTTGGAACAAAGTTGCCACAGGGTGGTGCCCCTCAGTTATGAGTTGGTTGATGATCCCCTTTCACTATCTGGTTGGTGGTTGACCACAACCCCTCTGAAAAATGATGGAGTGAGTAACAGTTGGGATGATGAACATTCCCAATTGAAAGCCATAATCCAGTCATGTTCCAAACCACCAACCAGATCACCATATGCACCATCATATTCCCATTGTTCTTGGTTTATAGCCTATTAACCAGGTGAAATCATAGTGTGAATGGTCATCTCCCCCGAATTTTTGGATCATTTCCGGTGATTTTTTGGGGCAGCCCAGCACTTCCTCAGGCCCCGAGCAATGAGCGACCGGACAACGTCCCAACCCGGTTGGTAGTATGTCTTGAGCCGCGAGGTGGGCGACAAAGGACTTGATGCCCGGCAATGGACAATGGATTGTGTAATGGGTGGAAAATAATGGATTAATCCGATTAATGCCTTCCCCCCATTCATATTGAACACCTCGAGAAACCATGGCGGATGGGCATGAAAACACGACCGGGACCATAGGTGGATTACTATCCTCCAGACATGCCTTCGAAAATTGAACATGTCGTGGAATGCGACTGCAGATCAACCAGTTTCACTTCATACGGGCGGTAGCTTGATGACAGTGGTGGGTTTTCTCACCAGGTGTCCCACCCGGCACACGCCTGAAATTTTACCAAGAACCTCCCCTCCCTAAGCAGAGGCATTTCCAAGCGGAAAAATGAAGGTTCCACAATTCCACATCCCGTTTATAAGGATTTGGACGACTTCACGGGAGATCATTCAACGAATCTACTTACAGTATATGGGTTTGTCTGATTTCAAGATCCCATTAAAGTATTTTAAAGTCCCATTGAGATCTACTTTTGACATCTTTAAGGGTTATCTGGCCCCCAAGACAGTACCAGGCCCCCCATCCAAGACAGGAATGGCCACACCCAAGGGGACCATTGGAAGCTCTGTGACGTCGACGTCTGCGACCTGTGGTGGTGGTTGCGTTGCAAATGTGGATACCAGACCAAGCCCCTCTTGAAATGGGGGGTTTCAAGCAACAATCCTTTCATTGGGAATTGGTTGAACATTGCTGTTTTAATGGCTCGAAGCATGTTGTTTACCAGGGAATATAGAGGTAAAATCTTTAAATTTGAGAAAACCAATGTTGAGAAATAGAAGTATTTCAAGTAATCATTTCACCAAGAAAACACGGGCCCTCACAATGAAATACAATGAACAGATCCAATTTCTGCAACGACGGGGTCCCTGGTTGGTATTTTAATCTGGCTGAATTATATTCATTCACCAACCGGAAAATGAGATGATTATCCGAATCCTCACCATTCACGACATGAGGTCACTATAACTTATCCAGTTTTAATGTTAAGGGACAGGATTATTTCACCCTTAGGCCAACATATTGGCAGGTCACTTTTCCCAGTGAACACATGACCGGCGATATCCTGGGCGGAGATGCGAAACTAAGTTTTGGCCAGAACATCTTCGGGAAAACAAACAAATTTCTATTGTTTAGGCCTTTAGATGACTTTAGAGCCTAGATTTCCCCATTAAAATGGTTATACATCGTTGACATAATTACGAACCCATTTTCAGATAGACGCATCATTTAGCACCAATCAAATCTTCCAGACTTTCCTTCGTCTCGGCAGCTGACACGACAGCTCTGCGACCAGTTTCTCCACCACCGTGCACTGCACGAATCTTTCAGATCAAAATCTGCCACAAAGGCAGCGACAAATCGAGACATCACCGAGCCCGGGAAGGGGATGGCGCCTTCCCAAAAAGGCTCCCCAAGAACTTCTGCGGCCTGCTCTGCCGCTTGGTGAACTCCCATTTTTGGATACTAAAATTCCATTTGTCGCGATTGTTTTTGAGGCATAGCCTAGAAGATGTGCTTGAAATCAATCGTTTGGGCTGTCCCCTTTTTTCAGCAGACTCAAACATGAGATACCAACGATTATTTTACTATGGCTTTTGTTGGATTCTTACATTAGTGTGATTCAATGGCATTCATATTCCATTATTTCCACCTTATCACACAAAATCCCCGTTGTCCCAGCATTTTTGCTGGTTTTATCCCACATTATTTGTCGATATGATACTGGTTGGTGGTTTCAACGCCTCGGAAAAATATTAGTCAATTGGGATGATTATTCCCAATATATGGAAAACTTGTTCCAAACCACCAACCGGGATATGTCTAACTATCATGTGGTTGGGAAACTCAATTCACAACTCGTTGGCTCCCTGAAGGGGACATGTAGATGCCCGAATCTCTCCGAATCCGAAAAAAATCACCAACGGTGAAAGCATAGCCACCATTTTTTTCAAGGGATTCAATACCATTGGCTATTATCCTGTTTTTTTTAATACCATGACGATCCATTCAAGATCCATTTTTCTTCAATTCCCACGAAATCCATCCACGAAATCCATCCACGACATCCGTCCCATCCGAAACGTTCCGTGCTTTCGACCGCACCTCAGCTGTGTGGCCCTTTGCGGTCGAAAGCTCCTGGAGAACGGAGATTTCACCTAGAGACATGGTTGGATTGGTTTAGGGGAATCTACAGGAAACCATGGTTTTTACATTTTTTTCATTTTTTGGGTTTCCCAAAAAACAATCCAATGAATAAATGATGGTAATCATAAATGATGGGTAGTCATAATATGGGAACATCATAATATATCTAAATCATTATGATTATGATAACTCCATAATAGATGGTAATTATACATGTCCCTATCATTTCTATTTAGATATCAGTGGATGATTGATTTCTATGAGTATGTCATCATTTCATAATCATTCAAACATATCAGATAATCAAAGAAATCAAGCATCCACATGATAGAAAGCAGATTCCCAATGATAGATGGGAAAACATTTTTTTTGGATATCCACCATCATCCCCATTCTGAGATGAAGATTCAACGTTTTTTTTTTATTGATTAAATAATTATAGGGATATTAAAGATGGGATACAGAGATATCACCAAATGTAATGGGGATACCCTCTGGTAATTTAACATAGCTATAGAAAATCACAAGTTTTAATAGGTAAACCACCTATAAAAGGGCCATTTTCCATAGCAATGTTAGTTTACCAGAGGGTATATAACCTATAAAGAGGTGGGGAAATATCGTGTTGAGAAGTTGAGACATGATGTGTTGTCAGGGGTATGCTGACATTTATGGAAGGTTTTTCACACCAACCATGCGGATATAATTGATATAACGGGATATTGATGTATCCACTAAGAATCAATATTGGGATTGGTAATATTATCATCATGGTATCATGATTGGTTATAGGTCGATATGAGATATATGATGGTGGAGATACGTAATAAAAGGGTATCGATTGACAATAAATCATGATCTTTTGGTGCCTCATACTTCGCTAAGTTGGAAAGAAACAAGGTTTTTCAGATTATGGGAAAAACCTGTTGGGTTTAAGGTAGATATAATCAACAGTGGATATCCCAGTTAGCTGCGTATCTACCAACAGTTTTATCCATAGTTACACCATGTTAAACCAACTGGGATAAACCAAGTGTCATACACTGGGGGTTACCCCAGTTACCGCCACATGTCGACAGGCCGCGCCATGGGGATTCCATGAGGATTTGTATCGCAAGAATCGTCAGCATCATGCTCATCCTCATCACATTGTCATCATTCTGGCATTATCACTAGTTCTGAAAAACACCAATTAAACCAATCACAGAAAATAACTATATCGCCAATAAAACCAGTATGCTACAACCAGCAAGTAGTAAGTATAACTATGATAAACTTACCATCATAGTACAACTACTCTAGTACAACCAATTTTAAAAAACACATGACATATCTCCAAGTATTACCCACATCCCCCACAATCCCTAGCAGATTCGCGGTCCTGGCACAGGTGCCGTTGCTCTTGCCAATGCTGCCCTCAAGGCCAATGATGGGATGGGACTATGATGGGAATACAGTGGGAATATAATGATATCTATCCCACTTAGTTATTGAAAAGTAGTCCTATATATATGATGTCCCATACTATTGATATCTATACCAGAGGACTATGATGGGACTATGATATCTATCCTCTTATCCTCTGGTTTTATTGACATAGTTATTGAAAAGCACCACTTCGTTCGATGATTTACCTTTTGAAACATCGTGATTTTCCATAGCAGACTCCTAGTTTGCCAAATGGTACGTAACACATGTAGCAGTCAGCAACCATGTTTTGTATCGGAATTGATCCGGATGATGTATCCCAGTGTTCTCGAGTAGCTGGAACCTATTGCATTTCCCTTGCGCCTTTATAAAATAACCAATATGTCCATTGAAAAACAAGATAGACCCCCATGAAATTTTTCACAACCGGGAAAAAAACCGGTCCATCTCCCAAAAAATCTTCCTAACCACATAGACGATCCTAAACTATACTATATATCGCATCACTAATGTTCACCTAGGATTCATAAACCCAATTCATTCATAGGGGGAGTACCCATTTTAACAGTTCTTTATCACCAGGAAGGGAAACCTCAGCTCCATGCTGTGGGAATCGCCAGGGCGGCCTATCTCACCTTTTTTTTTTTAGCTCAAACCTTAAATGAACTAAGCACTTAAACCAGTTCCTATGGTTACTATTGATACTACAGTATACCACTAGTTTAGTAAATACTATGTCATTAAAACTGTTTTACCATGGTTCTGAAACATGGCGCAAAACCTACCTCGAATAATCCGACCATTCACGGTGGCACTGCCAGCAGCACATCCGCAGCCCGCAGCCGCAGCGGAAGGTAGGCAGCGACTCGCCGCAACGGCAGGGGTTGGCGGCCAGGCCTTCACAGGTCACCTGTGGCCGTCGCAGGGGGGATGGCTTGTCATCCCATGGAACCATGTGAAATTTCAATATATAAAAATCCCATTTCCATATTACTGTAAATAGAGTTCCAAACTAAGGACTTTTCCAGGGTTCAACAGAATACATGAGGTTTTTCCGGATTTTCTCCACGTTTTACATGACATTTCAACCAACATCTATGATTTTCCATGGTTTTTCAACATGTCCTATTTACACGCACGCACGCACATATATCATATAATATCATATCAAATCATATTATATCATATCATGTCATATCATATTATATACATATATATATATATATTCAATTTATATCACCATTTTTAACCTATAAGAAAAATACAATAATCCCATGAATAACTCCTATATCCCATGTACATATTTGATGATTTCACCAATTTAGTTACTCGGGGGCGCAGGCCAGCGGTGACCCTTTAAAGGGGTATAACCGTGGGATTCTAAGCTGCAAAAGGTGGGGTTAACGTACGTCCTCTAGGGGTCATGTTCGATATCTATGTTAAATAACCATCAGGTAGTATTCCCTCCGATGAAATCCCATCATTTATTCACTGATCTCACCATTTTATCAAACACCCGATGCAGTATTATATATACCCCTATATAATATGCCATATTATATAATGGAACATCCTAATCAAATGGATTAGGGGTACCCCCATGTCAGGAAACCTCCAGATGAGCAGTGTTCCAATATACTGGTTGGTTTATTGTTCCCCGTTCTTGGAGTACTATAATCCCAATATATAAGGGGTAATCCCCCAACTAATCATCAAACAGGAGTTTAGCAGCCACTGCTCATTAACTATAGATATATCACCTATAAACTAATAGTTATTTGGAGCTATTTGCACCAACTTAGCTGTCGAACGGGGCACCACCTTGCAGGAAACCTCCATATATCCCATTCACTAATGATATTCCCATGAAATCCCATACTAATATCCAATTGCATACCACCATTAAATACATACATACATACATACATACATAACATACATAACATACATAACATACATAACATACATAACATACATTACATACATACATTACATTACATTACATTACATTACATTACATTACATTACATTACATTACATTACATTACATACATACATACAAACATCCATGCATGCATGCATGCATACATACATATATATATATATTATACTTTTTGTATTCTATCCCATATATGTACCCATTGCGCCCCTATATGCCCCTATATAAGGCCTGAATTTCCGGGATTTACGTGCCTCCATAGGATCCCCCGTCAGATTCCCAGCCCCCGTCGTCACCTCCACCAGCACCCCTCGCCCCGACGTCGGCGCACGCCCCGCCGTCAGCGCCGCGAGGAGAGGCGCGGCGAGGTATGCCGCGTCGCAGCGGAGCAGAAGGGCGATGCCGGCCTTGGGGGGTTTCTATGGGAAAAATGAGGTTTACATAGAAAAATGGCTTATAATCCATAAAGAGTTTATGGATTATATCAATATTTTTCTATTAAGAAAATGAATTTATAATCATTTATAATCCATAAATCAATGGTTAAAAAAGTTGTTTTATTCCATTTTTTTGGTCCCTATAATCCCATATATAGCACGTGATATTCCGTAAAGAACCAAAACTTGATGGGGGTAATGTTTCTATGGGGGTAATGAGGTTTAAATAGAAACCAACACTTGCTGGGGATAGATATAACCATATGAGAACGATAAGCAACCGTATTACCAACAATCATCAAACATGGAGATATATTGGGGATACACTAGGGATAGAAGAGTTAAAATAATTAATGGATCACTTTTTACAAGCTGGTGCACCCCTCAGTTATAAACAATAGTAACTATAGATACATCTACCATAAACCCCAATGAAATTGGAATACCAACTTAGCTAACGCACTGGGCCCCACATTGAATGTAGTTTGTATAGGGGTAATGAGATCGAAATAGCAATCAAGACTTTCTGGGGTTATATCTAACTTAAAATTTATAGCCATATTATTCCCAACACGGAGGGATGAACGGGAGCATATAACCATAACTTGATGGGGTTTATAGGGTTGAAACTGGGGAGCTAGTGGTTTATAAGTCATGAATCTAACTGGAGAAATTCCATTAAACTGGATACGATTGTTACCCACTTGCTAGCGGCGAAGTGCCCCACAAGTTTACCGTAACCAAGGAATACTTGGTTACATACGATCTGAGCCAACTGACAAGGGGTTTTAACCCAACAGAAATGAAGAACAGGTTAATTATTCAACCAACCAAACTGGGATTCAACCATCCAAAACTGCTAGGTTTTTGTGAAACTTTCTGACAGGCTGCATTTTTGGTGCTCGAATCTTTGTTTTGCTTCAAGTCCAATCTATAGCAACCTTCCACCGTCAAATTCCTCGACCAGTTTTTGGCGGTGCATCACATTTTGGCGGAGCTCAAAGCCCCATGCTTACCCTCTGGCTATTTAACATAGCCATGGAAAATGGCCCATTTATAGATGGTTTACCTGGGTTTACCTATTGAAAATGGTGATTTTCCATGGCTATGTTAAATAACCAGATGGTAATTAATATCACCTTTTTTCTGGCTGGATAATGTTTAGTTGTCCTTGGTCAAATTCCATTTTTGCGGTTTAAAAACCCAAACTTCAATGCAATTCTTGATCAAAACGCATGGCTGTGAAAAAAGAAACACAAGTTTTTTCATTCCTTTTGATGTCAAAAACAAAACGAATTGGGTAAAGCCATCATTGGCTGAATCCATGCGGCTTTTGCTTGAACCCCCAGCATTGGTTGCTGGTCGATGTTGGTTGAATGGCATCATCATCACATGATTAGCTCGTAATATCCCATCATGATCCAGTTATTATCCATTATTAATCAACATCATCCAGTGATTATACTATTCTCATTATCCTTTGGAAGTATTAACCAACATTACCCGACTCACAACCAGCATTAACCAGCATTATTACCCCATTATAACTGTTGTTGTCCCATTAGCATCGCAGTAGCCATCCAATCATTTTCTAAATCATCAAATTTCTTGCATGATCCATCGTCAACATTTACCCTATGGTAATTCAACATAGCTGTAGAAAATTACCATGTTCAATAGGCAAATCATCTATAAACGAGCCATGGCTTCCATAACAAACTGTGAAATTGCTGCAGGGGAGTAGCCAATATCATCCCACTACACTCCCAATAAATTGTTGGATATATGATTAGATAATTATGCTGAAGAAATGGTTAATATTTTTAGGCTATTCCATTATTAACCATTATTATTACAATTTTAATTTCTTAACGATTGGGAACATAACAAAGCAAACTTGCATGATTATTTTCCAAGTAAACTGGATGATTAATGACCGAAAACCTCCCAGGGAAAATCACCTTCACCATGATTCTTAACCATTATTATTCCAATTATAAGTTCTATGAACCACTGTGAACGTAACACATTACAATTATTAACCTAATTATTAATTATAAACCTGCTGGGTTGTCAATGACGTTCCTTTCAAAATGACAATTCATAATCTGTTTGAGGTATATTCCAATATCAACCGCTATTCCCTATAGATTCCCCAAATGGTGCGCTTCCCATTGGGAAGACCAACAAATCACCCGAAACACCCCCAGGGAAATAGTAAATTATGTTAAAACTATGCCATGAGTAACCATGATTATTCCAGTTATACATAATTGACCATTATCATTCACCATTATCATTCACCATTATCATTACCCCATTAGTATCCCAATTACAATTTATTTCCCATTGGCAAGCTACATATCACCATTTGAAACTACATATCACCATTACTATCTATTAACAATACATAGAATTAATGATTATTAACCATAGTAAATCCTTGGTTTGTGACCTTGTTTTACCCACAAACTATTCCCCATTGAGAAAGTAACCATGATTATTCCAGTCATAAATAATGAATAACCATTATTGTTCACCATTATTATCGTCCATTAGTATTCCAATTGCAAATTGTTATTTCCCATTGGGAAAAACAATAATCAACCACCCATTTGGGGAATAGTCCCATTAGGGAATAATTGTGTACAATAATATAGTAATCCCCAGATAGATGGAACAGTGAAACACCATGAATTAGTAGGGATTTACTTTCCCAGCTATTTAGGGATGACTATTCCCCAAATGGGTGGTATAAACCACTATCCCAAATTCGGAAGAACAACCAACTCACCTCAAAACCCAGGTGCCACCATGGCAGCCCAGTGCTGTGGCTCCGTCCAGGAGGCGCACACAAGGCGCGGAGGCGCTTGAAAGGTCGTGGCCAAGACGTGGCCGTCCTGAAAATTTGGACCTTTTTTGGGGGAAAATGGAAAAACACCTGGGGAAATGATGGAAAATGATGGAACATGGTGGTTAAAATGATGGAACATGGTGGTTTTGTAGGGTTTTGGGGTTGGGTTTAATGGTGGACTTTATCATAGAAAGACTTCTTTCCAACTTTACAATGAGGGTTACTGTTGACACCGCAACGTCTAGCCTGCAGATATGGGCCGCCAGTGTTTGGAATAAAAAATCAATGTTGATGCAAGAATGCATCTTGATAAACTGTAAAACACAACGGCTTTGAAGGATACATCCCTGGGTTTATGGGTTTAGGCGTCTTATTGCCCACTTTGCAAGGTTGTATTCAAATGTTTCAAGATTATAAATCGTCATTGTTGGACTTTATTGTCTCAAAACATCTCAAGACTCTTCTTCTCCAACTTAGAAACCCAGCATGATTCCCATCAGCACTTTTTGTCGGAGACGGTCGGGAAAGTCGGGCTGTCGAGTTCACCAGCATTGGGACGGCAACCCATCATCTACATTGTCGCTGAAGGACCTCAATTTTCTGAAACCACAGTTTGCTTTAGATCTAAAAGAGTGGCACCAATTCATTCTGAACCATGAATTCCGGCAAGTTATCGTTCTATATTCCCGTTTTATCACCTTAAATCCCTACAATATCGCAATTACACCATGACTGTCAAAATTCCAAGAGAATTCAAGAAGTCACCCCCACGATCTTTCTATTTTGGTTGGTTCAAAAAACCACAGTGCCAATATGATGATTAGCTCCGTATTTGATGGTTGAGTCACCATTAATCACCATGTCAAATGCTTAGTAGCACCTTCAACCCATTCTCACTGAAATCGTACAGGAACGCCATTAGCAAACGCATCAATCATCAGCCAACCATCAATCATCTATTTTCATATTCCCATCTGTTTGAAACCTAAAGCTCCTATTTGATGGGCCAAATACCGTCATCATTTGGAGGTTTCCATCTTTTTAATGGTACCCACAATAGCTGGATGGTTTATTTCAGGGAATATCTGCCTATAAATGGATAACTAGGGGTACCCCCATGACTTAGGAAACCGCCATATCATCATTATGATTATTATCATCATTATTATTTTCTTTATCACTATCATTATATCCAAATTATCATTATACTATATCCTCCATTACATATGTCAAATCCCATGAAATCTCATTCAATCAGCATTTTTTCTGGGTTACCATTGGGTTACCATTCAAAAACACCATGAGATCACCATTTTGGCTGGTTAAAACATCCCTTTCCCATGGCAACACACGAACAAAAAACGCACGAAATCCACCACATCCGCACCTCATCGCGGAGCGTGAAGTGTGCCACGTACCAGGCCTCCGGGCACAGTTGTGCCCGCGGCAGCACGCGACCTGAAAGATTTGGGTCAACCATGATCCAAATAGTAAATAGTAATAGTAAACCAATCGTAAAGATGAATTAAAACCATGGACGTGGGAAAATCATGCACTAAATGACACAGTTTACTGGAAATGTTTTTTTTTGAATCTATTATACCTGGTTGGTGGTTGACCTACCCCTATGAAAAATATGAGCTCGTCAGTTGGGAGTATGACATTCTAAATATGTGGGACAATAAAATTCATGTTCCAAACCACCAACCAGAATAGTAAAGACGAAGTAAAACCAATAGTAATAGCAAACCAATAGTAATAGTAATAGTAATAGTACTAGTAATAGTAATATGAATGTGGTGTAAAGCAATAAGATCCACCATCCCCCGTTTTTACCATGGGTGGTAAAAGCCATCAAAATATGGGTGGCTTATTGCTGCTTTACTCACATTACAGTGGTTTTAAATGATTTTATGCGGTTTCCGGGTACAGTTGGCAAATGATGGTTGGGTCATGGTTTGGGAGAGTTTACAGCCCAGTATTTCAGGGGATGGGACGGAGGTAGTTTTCATGACTCAAACGAACTGACCCAACGCAGATGTGAAGAAAAAGGTAACCTTCCATCTATACAATCTCAGCCAACCATCTATACCAAACGTGTGAAGAAGAAGAAGAAGAAGAAGAAGAAGAAGAGGAAGAAGAGGAAGAAGACGAGGAAGAAGAGGAGGAAGAGGAAGAAGAAGAAGCAGAGGAAGAAGGAGGAGGAGGAGGAAAAAAAGGTGAGGTTCACGGGTTGGTTGCTATTAACTTAATCAATATTACTCAGCAGTGTGGCCTGTAAAGACACTAGACGACAGTGTGGCCTGAAAAGAAACCAGGAGACAAATATCACATGTTGGGTCCAAAGACAAGTAACGCACGCGAAGGGTTCCTTCCAGACAAAAATACCAATGAAAAACAATGGTGTGATGTTGGCCATGACAATGATAATGTTAATGATGACTATATTGATATATAAAAATGATATTCAACTAGATATGATTGAACTGGCTTAGACACATAAATAGGCCAGACAAATATCAACAATAACACCTATCATATGACCTATGACATATAATATACATATACATATGACATATATATATATATATGTAATATAATATAGATAGATACCACTTGGAGGTTCCAATCCATCATCGATTCAACCTTCGTGCCTGCCACCCACGCCGCCGTCTCCGCGAGACGTGCCGCCAACGCTTCCCCGACACGGAACGCCGCCGCGCTCGGCGTGCGGTGGAGGGCGATGGCCTATGACAGCTGCACCAATTAACTATATAATGTGGGAAAAACAATAATAAACCACCCAGTTGGGAATGGTTTATACCAACCATAAAAATGGTGATTTGGGGGATGGTTTATTATTGTTTTAACCACATTATATATATATGTAAATATATACTGGTTGGTGGTATACCCCTCCGAAAAATATGAAAGTCAGTTGGGATTATGACATTCCCAATATATGGAAAAATAAAAAATGTTCCAAACCACCAACCAGCAATGGTAATCTAGAAAAAATGGTGATTTTTGATGGGATTGGATGGCATGATTATCGACGCAATTGCATGCAATTGCCAAAATAACTATTCAATTGGATTTATGAGCATTATTAGGGTAAACTCATCATCATGAATGATCTTTTCGGACTATGATTTTATTATCAGCACTATATTTATTGTATTATCATAGTTTTTATCGGTTGGCAAGCTAGTAACATTCAGATAATTCAGTTGTATTCAGTTGTTCTGGTTGAATAATGTGATGATACTGGCGTATTGTTGAAAAATATTCACTACTATTATCATGGTAAGCCTTCTTTCATGGTATATAAAACCATACCAGTGACTATTTTCCACCAGCTATCTCCATGAAACTCACATGGGCATATATCCCAATTACATCCCAGTATGTCCGGATAGTTGGAGTCATATCCTTAAATCATTTAAGTGGACTATTGGTATAGATAGTAATGATAACATATACTGGACAGTAACACATATTGTATTCTAGCTTTACCATTTTTTCTAAATCATTGTATATATTGGTATAGATATTATTATCTATGAATATAGATATAATACAGGTATTGTAATTATATCTTCACAATATTGGTATAGAACTCATAGTAACAATAGTTAATTCTTGTTTCTAAACAAGGTGCACCCAGAGGTACTCCGTGGCTTCAGAAAAAAACGACCATGAATGCCATGGTGTTCTCCATCCAAGCTATGCATTTTCATCAGCTGGTTCAATGCCTATGGATGAACCCACATAGCAATATATAATCCTACAGATAGGCTTATATATACGTACCAATATTAAGATATAATCCTATCCGGATTATAATATATAACCCTTATTATATACCAACTCTGGTTGCTTCACTCATATCAATATATATATATATAATCCTACAGATTCCTATAGTAAGTCTAGTTTCATAGATGTAAACCAACTTAGATAGTTCAGTGGCTCACTCTCCAAGGAACACTTTTAATAGGTTTTTCCATTATAAACCATCCATTTTGGGGATCCCTTATTTTATGGACACCCCATTTTCTGTCCCTATTTCCGGCTGTGCCAGCCTCGGCCCGCTGCCTCTGGCGCTGTGCAAACGCCGCGGCCGTGGGAGTTGTCTTCGGCACCACGTGGCGTAGCAAAACGCAGCAGGGACTGGCGGAAAGAATGAGTTTATGGGTGGTTCATGGATGGTTTATGGACAGGGCTTATTAACCACAAGCGCCAGCGCTAGCATCGAAGAAATTGGGAAGGTCACCTTTGGGTTGTTGACATCTCCATGACGATTTTGTGTTGGAAAAGCTCGAGGATTTCAGTGAAAAGTTGGGGAATTCGGATTTAGCCGGCGAGAATTTGTGATTTCACCACATAAGGGCAGAATTGGCAAACAATTGGAGTTGAACTATCCAAACATTGCCCCCTTTTTGAACCCTTGAACTACCCAAAATGACGCTCCCCATCCCCACATCATGGTGAACATTTGGGGTGTGGAACCTGCTGTAAACTAACGTAGATCGTTAAAAATCCACCATTTGTAGATCTTCAAAATTTTCATAGGCTTTCCCTAGGTTTTCCACATGTTTTTGTAGGCTTACTCCAAGGCAACTGCCCCGAATTCACCCAGTGTATCACCTTTCGCTGGAGCCGTGCACGGTGACAGATGTGGCTTCCAGTTCCCACACGCGGCTTCCGAGGGAGGAAATTGAAAGGGTGTAGATATTTTTGGCCAATGTCATTTTGGTGTCTCTTCAAGGCTGAAAAGTTGTTATATCATGTTATATCTCCAAATCTGATCACCATTTTATAACATCTGTTGGTTTACGGCAGTCAACATGTCGATAACTGGATCTTCTGTCCTCAACATACCCCATCCCTCAACAGTGCCACGAACTGTTCGCGCGTGAAACGGTGATGAAACGGTGAAACGGACTGCCACGACGAGCAGAGAAGACAAGCTGCGGGTGGATGGTTTCAACCTGTGCCAGATTAGGTTTCTCAATTGAGATTGTCATCACATTTTCTTGGATGGAAGATTAATCAAAACTGAAATCACCAGTTTCTCTGGGCTCAATCTACTCTTTTATCTTTTCTCGTTTCCGAGAAGCACTTATAGCCGCACGATCATTGACGAGTGACTAGTCCCACTAGTGTTTATCGAACCCATTTGGTACTTGGCTGGGAGACATCCCCAATGGATCCATTCTTTGTCAAAGTCCAGAAAAACCGGGCCCCCAATTGTTCTGTTTCCGAATCTGGGAATTCATCCCCGAATTTCTTGATATGTTTGGGATGGCTACTAAGACAGCCTCTTTTTTATGGTTACCGAGACGGTTCTCCCACAGATTTCTTGTCTTCGGCGCCCGGTTGAAGTCCTGACTTCAGACTTCGCCGGTGAACGGAGAGAACGGCTAGCCGCTACCCTCTGGTAAACTAACATGGCTACGGCAAATCACCATTCTTTATGGGTAAATCGTTTACATCATCTATAAATAGGCAATGTTCCGCTATGTTAAATTACCGGAGAGTATCCCTTAAGAATTTCAAGTTTCGGCATGGTAAAGACACATTGGCGGAGATAGTAGAGGCAAACCTAGCAGGACATCATTTCAAAATCCTCAGTTGCATTGATTTCACGGGTTACAAAATTCAGCTTTCTGTCCCAAACCCATCTGGTTATGGGTCAAAACCCTGATGCCCTTTGGGGTGTACGTGGGAGTTCGTCCATCCAAAATATGATATTTTGATAGGTTCTTATCCATCTCCATCTTTAAATCATGTGGCCATTTTCAAAAAAAACATGGTTGGTTCCACTACATATCTTAATCTTACATATCCCATTGTTGCCATCCCGTTGGCAAAAAAACAAACAAACACTAAACCTGACTCTAATCTTTCCAATACGTTCCCAATCCCAAACAGCCATTTTTCTCCCTAAACCCAATCGGTTTCATTGCTTCCAATTCTTAAATCGAGATTTTACGATCGGTTTCCCCTGGATCCTGTGAAACATCCCATAGATTTGGCCATGGGCTCTGCCCATCCTCTCCGGAACGACCCAAGGGCGGCGTCACTTGCGCTTCTTCTTGCCCTTGGACTTGTTGGTCTCCGCACGCAGCGCCGCCTCCTCGGAGAGCTCCTGCCGAGGATGTCGCAATGGAAAAACGCTCGATTTCACGGGAAACCATAGAAGGAAAAACGATAGAGATGCATGACAAAATTATATATACGTATATATACATATCATGAATGCCAAGAATAATGAATCCTTGAAGTAATCGGTTGAATATGATTTTGAGTGTATGACAGTGTATGCAATCAGGGTCTTAACGTGATTTGTATTTGACGTTCAAGTTTTAGTGGGGGATATGCTGTGGTAAACCCGGTAAACATTGACAAAGCATCCTCAATTATTAACTGGTTGGTGGTTTCAACCCCTCTGAAAAATATTAGTCAGTTGGGATGATTCTTCCCAATATATGGAAAAATGTTCCAAATTCCAAACCACCAATCAGTTAACCATAAAGGCTGTTTGCTACGGCCATGGTGACTCTCAATGATGTGGTGATTGAACCCCGGTGGATCCAGAAACACGAAGCCACCAGGCTGCCAGGCTCTGCAAAGGTTGGACAGATTATCCCATGAAATATTCCTGAAACATATCCGAATCTGATACTGCAATCACGGTCTCATGATTGCATCAAACCATTTTCCAGTCTGGTCTGCAAATCATGATAGTTGTCGGTGTAATGATGATCATATACTCATTAGTAGCATTTAAATGTACATAACTATAGCTTTTCATGGCGTTTTCTGCTGTTTTTTTTCCGGTGGCGTCGTTTCCTCCTGCTTGCGTCGCTCGTCTTCCTTCAGGTCCAGGATCTCTTCGACCCACCTGGGAAGTCCAATTGACAGGAATCATTGGATTGGTTTTGTTGGGAAAATCTTAACCGGAAACCATGGTTTTTACATGTTTTTACGACCAAATATAGGGGTTTCTGGCTTCAATTTTCCCATCATCCAATTTTATGAATGAAGGATACCATTGGAGAATAGTAATGAAAGATGCAAGGATATTAAGGATAGTGAAGAATGGACAATTGTCATTGATTATGGCTGATAGATGATATGGCATATTTATATAATGAAATATCAAATCAAGATATACATATTCATTCATATCAATGTCATCCTAACATCATATGTATATATATATTGATATTCCAATCATCCGTTGGTTGATCAGTTTAATGTTCCGATCATCTGTAGATTTAAGATTCCATGTCGTATACCCTCTGGTAATTTAACATATGGAAAATCATCATTTTAATGGGTAAATCAACTATTTCTATGGACCATTTTCAATAGCGAACGGTTAAATTACCAGAGGGTATTGAATATGCCATCTTTAGTTGTGGTGAATTATCTACGGTGAAGAATGGTTAATATCCATTAATGGATACCATTAAGATACTGATATCTATGGTTAATGGATAACCATAAGGATTGATAACCAAGTATCCATTAAGGCTTGATATCCCATCTTTAATTGTGACTGCTCCCTCGTTCAGTGCGTTCCGTTTTTTACGTGGTCCCACTGGTTTGTTGGTGCGAAATGGCCAACCTCGGCTACCCTGCAACTGAATTGCTATCTGGTGAGTATATTCCTCCATTTTTATCGCCAGGTTTACCCAGTTTCCATCCCCATTTTTATACATTATCCCGAATTTGGTTCGCAAATTTTTACCCATGAATGGGGATTCATCTGTTAATTAGCTACATGAGCGGGACATTATAGCCACTGTGTTCGCATTGGTCCACTATCCCTACAGGATGGGGCTCCCAAGATAGCGTTCAGTTGCCACAGAAAAGTGGCTGAATTCTATGGTTTATGGTAGATATAACCAACTAGTATTCATGGATGTTCATGGGGGTTATGTCATGGTTTATAAACCCACGTTCACATGACTTTTTTCCCCATCCTGTCACCATTCTTGGTGAGATCCACATCCCACGATCAAAACGCCTGGCCTCTCGCTACGGGCCTTCATTCGGTTCAGACGACGCTCCTATCGCGGAGCGACACGAGGGAGAATCACCATGGGCGTGGGAAAATCATGGCGCATTCCATGGCACAGTGTGCTGTTAATATGTGGTTAATATATGGTTATTATATGGTTAATAATAGCCCGGTTGGTGATGCAATAACCGTCTTGAAAAATATGGTTTCGTCAATGGGATTGGGATTATCCCACATATTATGGACAATGCAAATGTTTGAACCACTATTTTTTGGAATCTATACTCATGCACCGATGTTTTTGGAAATTGACAATGTTAGTTAAGTTCTCGTAACCCCCACGTTTGCAGGAAAGTGTAAAATCCAATTAGTTGAATCCAGATGATATAAATCCTCATTTACTGGTGGTTCAAATCCCCATTCAAACCCCCATTATATCCCGATTCAACGAATTAACGTCTTCCCATGATGTCAAGCTCATTGGGTGAACGCTAACAGCTCTCTGTGAACAACTGCTCAAAACTTATTGATCAGGATTAACAACTTTATGTCAAATCACCTGCCGTAATATTTTATCATCAACAACCCTTGAAAACTCCCAGCAACTATACATATCCCCATGATAATCATTGTAACACATGAACAACTAGCTATCAATCACTTTTTCCTTTGAAAAAACAACCGTAAACAACTGTGAATTATGAACAGCTCTCAGCAATAAACTTGATCACCTAGCCACCTCTCATATGATAACAATCAAACAGTTATCAGCTGTGTAATTCACCAACAAGCAATTATGCTTATCTGGTTTACCTCATTCATTCCCATATATCATGATTCAATCCAATTGGATCTCATTGAACACCACAGGATGGGCCTCCCAGTGATGTTTGTTGGTTTAAAAACCATTATAACAGCCATTAACTAATTTGTTATATCTACCATAAACCATAGAATCCAGCCACTTATGTTTGGCAACTGAACGCTATCGACTGGGGGCCCCATCCTAAATTAAGCCCAAGAATTTCTGGTCAATGGGTTGTTACATCCCAGTAAATCCCATATGTCATCATCAAGCCAATTAGATCCACCATTAAGCCCTATTAAACACCATTAAATCACCATAAAACCACCATCAAGTTCCATCAAATCCCATTAAGCACCATCAAATCCCATCAAATCCCATTAAGCACCATCAAATCCCATCAAATCCCATTAAGCACAATCAAGTTCCATCAAATCCCATTAAGCACCATCAAATCCCATCAAATCCCGTTAAGCACCATCAAATTCCATCAGATCCCATTAAGCACAATCAAGTTCCATCAAATCCCATTAAGCACCATCAAATCCCATCAAATCCCATTAAGCACCATCAAGTTCCGTCAAATCCCATTAAGCACCATCAAATCCCATTAAGCACCATCAAATCCCATCAAATCCCATTAAGCACAATCAAGTTCCATCAAATCCCATTAAGCACCATCAAATCCCATCAAATCCCGTTAAGCACCATCAAATTCCATCAGATCCCATTAAGCACAATCAAGTTCCATCAAATCCCATTAAGCACCATCAAATCCCATCAAATCCCATTAAGCACCATCAAGTTCCGTCAAATCCCATTAAGCACCATCAAATCCCATTAAGCACCATCAAATCCCATCAAGCACAATCAAGTTCCATCAAATCCCATTAAGCACCATCAAATCCCATCAAATCCCATTAAGCACCATCAAGTTCCATCAGATCCCATTAAGCACCATCAAATCCCATCAAATCCCGTTAAGCACCATCAAATTCCATCAGATCCCATTAAGCACCATCAAGTTCCGTCAAATCCCATTAAGCACCATCAAAGCCCATTAAGCACCATCAAATCCCATCAAATCCCATTAAGCACAATCAAGTTCCATCAAATCCCATTAAGCACCATCAAATCCCATCAAATCCCATTAAGCACCATCAAGTTCCATCAAATCCCATTAAGCACAATCAAGTTCCATCAAATCCCATTAAGCACCATCAAGTCCCATCAAATCCCATTAAGCACCATCAAATCCCATTAAGCACCATCAAATCCCATCAAATCCCATTAAGCACAATCCCTTCCTTCCGTCGCATCCGTCGCGTCCTGCATGGCTTCAATCTCCAAGCGCATGGCCTCCACTTGCATGGCGTGCTGACGGCACCTGCGCGGCACAACTTGGGGTTGGCGATTTTTATGGATAGTTTATGGATACTGTTTGGTGGTTTCAACCATCTTGAACAATATTAGTCAATGGGAAGGATTATCCCATATATGAAATGGAAAATAAAAATGTTCCAAACCACCAACCAGGCTAGTTTTTTGGATGATTTATGGGTGACTTATGAATGATTTATGGATGGTGTATGAATTGGAGATGTGTGAGCTGATGGTTGTTTAGCATTGAATGGTGTTGAATGGCATTTAACTGGAGTTTTTGTAAATCTGGTTGACATCTGTTTACATCTTTTTTATTGGGTTTCTGATGGTTTCTAATGTCGTTTTTTGACTTGACAAGCTTATTTGGCTGACAGTTTGTGGAGTTTTGGCTTTGTGGATGGAAAGCCTCCATCGTTTTGCATTCAATTCTTCTTTGCTCGGAAAGAAATATGCACGTCGGACATGTTTCTAAGTGTTATTGGAGCTATTGAAAAACGTAAAAGCATATGTGCTTTCTTATCAGATGTCGATTTGTAGTCCTCAAAAGCGATGTTGTTCGGGTTCGTCCAAAAGTAATTTGTACTTCAGGTCAACTTTTGCAGGTTTTGCCTGGTGTCCAAATCCCAGGTAAACGCAGATGGCAATGGGCGACAAGAGTGAAACGGCGATGTTTTCAATAGTAAACTAGACCATGTCTTAGCAAAACATTTCAGGGGTCAAAACATGAACCATAAGCATGATGTCTCCCATCAAAGATGTCTCCCATCAAAGATGTCTCCCATCAAAGATGTCTCCCATCAAAGATGTCTTATGCATGCTGATGCAATTTCAATGACTAGGAACCCCCCATGTCCATCCGCTACTTGGATGTGCACATCATTCCAGTGACGTCGCAGCGAGGTCGTTAATAGTTGGGCTTCTCCAAAAAATAAGGTACCTACTTCCATTGGTTAATCATCGCTTTTCCTGTCGGAATGGCAATTCCAGGGAAGTATACCCATAAATACCCCTTAAATTCCTTTAAATCATGGTCTGATCCCTGTCAACATACCCAGTTAAACTTGCATTTTTTCTTGAATCCGCATTTTGATGAGCTAAATCCATCTAAATCTAAATCCATCTCAGATCCTATGTTTGATCTTTTAGACCCTTTGGTGAAGTCCCATGGATCAGGTCCTCCTCGCCTGAACTCTTCGTTGTACAGGGCGAAGCGTTCCCGGCGCTCGTTGCGCCGAATGGTGCCTCGACCGGCGATGGAACCATCAGAACCCATCAGAACCCATCAAAGATCCATTCGAAAAATATTGAAAACCATGAAACATCATCAATCCAACCATCAAACATCATCAAACATCATCAAACATCATCAAGAATCCTCAGATTTCTCCCAATTTTCTCCAGATTTTCCATCCATTTTCCACCCCGCCCCGCCCCCCGGTGTCCCCGGGCTGTCGCCGTGGCACTGAGGCGTTCCCGGTTGCGCTGCACCACGGCGTCGATGCGCCGCAGCTGCTCCACGGAGGGCGAAGCATCGTTGCCGGACCTTGGGGTGTCATGGGATTTAAATTGTGATATAATGAACAATAGGCAATAGGGATATAATCCTATAGTTAATATATAATGGTCAATGGTGGTTAATATACTCACCCTAATGATATGGTTAATATGGTGGTTAATATGATGGTACCAGTAGTACCGCACAAGGCAGTGGCGGAAGTTTCAAAAATAGGAAACCTATAGGAGAAGTTGGTTGTTGCGAATCAGGGATGGCAGAGCGAAGCCACTGATTGACCGAAAGGTGGTTAGAGTTGTGTTTGCTGGAATGGTTGCAATGGTTGCAGTGGTCACCTCACCCACAACTGCTGGATGTAGTGTGATGTACTGCAACTGTAGTTGTAGTTGTAGCGTAGTGGAGTTGTAGTTGTGGTGTAATGTAATTAGTGTAGTGTAGTTGCAGTCCTATGGTTGTAGCTGTAGTTGTTTTGTAGTTGTAGTTGTAGTTGTTGTAGTTGTTGTAGTTGTAGTTGTTGTGTGGTTGTAGTTGTTGTGTAGTGTAGTAGTAGTAGTAGTTGTTGTTGTTGTTGCTGTAGTTGTTGTAGTTGTAGTTCTAGTTGTAGTTGTTGTGTAGTTGTAGTTGTAGTTGTAGTTGTAGTTGTAGTTGTAGTTGTAGTAGTTGTAGTTGTTGCTGTGGCTGTTGTTGTTGTTGTTGTTGCTATTGTTGTTGTTGTTGCTGTTGTTGTTGTAGCTGTTGTAGTTGTAGTTCTAGTTGTAGTTGTAGTTGTTGTGTAGTTCTTGTAGTTGTAGTTGTAGTTGTTGTGGTTGGTGTTGTTGTTGTTGTTGCTGTTGCTGTTGTCGTCGAAGTTAGGGTAGTTAAGTTAGTGAAGTTAGTTAAGTTAGTCAAGTTAGTTAAGTTAATCAGTGTCTACTTTTTCGACATCTTCACGTCAAAAAAGGCTCAAAACCCTCAGTTTTTTTACACTTTTGACTTCGAAATGTGCTTCGCGCCACAACGGCGTGCACTTTTTCGACACTTTTTCCACATCGGAACCTCCAAAAGTGGGCCGAGACCGTCAGTTTTTTACACTTTTGACTTGGAAATGTGCTTCGCGCCACAACGGCGTGCACTTTTTTGACATCTCAACTTCCAAAAGTGGTCCGAGACCGCCAGTTTTTAACACTTTTGACTTCAAAATGTGCTTCGCGCCACAACGGCGTGCACTTTTTCAACATCTCGACTTCCAAAAGTGGTCCGAACCCCTAGTGTTTTGTACATTTTGACTTCGAAATGTGCTTCGCGCCACAACGGCGTGCGCTTTTTCGACATCTCAACTTCCAAAAGTGGTCCGACCATGGTGTGTTTTGTACATTTTGACTTGGAAATGTGCTTCGCGCCACAACGGCGTGCACTTTTTCATGTCTCCTCTGGCCAGCTGGCTCCGCACCCGCCGCTTTAGCGAGCCTACTTTTCGACCCTCCGGAGCCACAAATCATTGGAAAAACACAGTGAATCGCGACTTTCCTACCTTTTCGCGCATCTGCATCTTCTTTCTTCTGATCTTGTCTCTTCTGACTCTTCTCACCTCTGCTTTTCAACTGTCCATATTGTCGGAAGTTTCACTTCTAAACTTCCTTCGATGATTAAATCTTATGATATTTCATTAAGAATAGATTTACATGGGGATGTACCCAGCAAACAATGGGGATCTATAAATATAAATGGTTAATCTATGGTTAATATATGGAGAATATATGGAGATATATGATGGTTAATATGGTGGTGAATTTAATAGGTAAACCATCTATAAATGGTGATTTTCCATGGCGAACTGTTAAATAACCATAGTTAATGATTAAATCCTATGATATGTAGGGATATAATCCTATAGTTAATATATAATGAATAGGGATTATAAAATGAACAATAGGGATTTCATGGGATTAAACGATGAAAAACCAGGAACAATACAGATTTAAATGGAATTTCACGGGATATATAAGAATCTTAATGGGATTTCATGGGATGTAAATGGGATTCCCCCCAATTTTTAGATGATTTTCCCAATGTTTAGGTTATGTTCCAGATGGTTTATTGGTGGGTTTATCTCATTAATGATGACGATGATGGATATCTAACCAACAAGGGAAGTGGATTTATAAATGATTATCCTATGAAATAGTAGGATAGTGGGAATACACTAATGATCTCATCTATGGTTAATAGCAATGGCATGGAAATATCTATAGTGATGGGAATATCTATGGTAATGGGGATATCTATGGGAATATCTGTCGTTAATTAATGGGAATATTGATAATATCAATAGGGACTTAATATGGGATTAATATGATAATGATGACAATATGATAATAATGATTGGTGAATGATTACCAGTGAACATGGGATGGTTAATGATAACTTAGATTTTGATGATTTAAGAAGCCATTTGCCACCAATGATACTATCATGAATATCCATGTTCATGGTGATGTTCATCAACATTTAACATCATTTAACTACGTAATATCTATATATATCTAGTGTTTGTTTGATTTCATATACCCAAAATGGAGGTTTACATTACTATGACATAGATATAACTAATGACATATGATACATATATATAATATAATATATATATATTCAATATAACTAATGACATGTTCTATTTCACCAATCACCATCAATAGAGGTTTACATTGGGATCGATACATAACCCATTTGGAGATGATTCTCCATAGGATTCCCTTAAATTCTTGCTGGTTCCAGCCCTAAAAATGGTGACTAAATCCTCTATAAATGCCGGTTCGCAAGGGTATCATCCAGGTGAGTTGTAAGATCTCCTCATCTTCCACTATATCCCAATGATAGATCTTTGTTTGTAACTGGTTGTGAAAACCTCATTAAAGATGTTTACCCCATTGCTATTTACAAGGGCTTGGTAGCCAAGGCTCAAGTCCACCAGCGTCAAAGTGTCATTCGCTTCGATGGCGCGGGCGAAATATTCCCCCGCCTGGTGCGAAGGAAGGCCGGAATTTTTGGACCACAGGGAACTGCCATGGTTTTCCAAAAAAAACAGAGGATTCAACGATAAAACGATAGGGAAAACGAAAAGACATCATGATTTACGGCGGTTCTGTTAGGATCAAGCAAAATGTTGCTGGTTGGTGGTTAAACAACCCGAAAAATATGAGTTCGTCAATTGGGATTATGAAATTCCCAATATATGGAAAAAATCATGTTCCAAACCACCAACCAGGTTGATACCAAAAAGATCTTAGCTTACTAATGGTAGCAAGAAACAGTAATTTTAATGCCTCATATGGGGTCTGGGATGGTCTGGGTAAAACCTCCATATTGTTGGTCAAACGACAAGCACGTATCCTTTTTTTGCAGTAAGATCCACAATCGATTTTGTTTAAGGCTAGTGGCTAGTGTCAAATCGCAAATGTCGAAGCATTAACTATCTGTGTTTATCTTGTTTTATCTACAAAATACGTTCCACCTTACCATCCATCTCTTAAAGAAAAACCGACCTGCCATTTTCTGAAAAAATCTTGTGCCTGCTGAGTGATGCCGTTCTTGGAGAGCATCAAGACTCGCAGGGATTTGTTCTCTTGCAACGCATCCGCCAGTTTGATGATGCCCTTCTGATCCTGCGGCCATGTAAACCCCATAACACCTGGTAGCGGATGATATGTCCAAAAAGCCACACCGTGTTGGGTAATTTTTTTCGGTTGATTCTTGGGATCAAACATGGGAAAAAACACAGTGTGATCAACGACACATCGAGTTGTGACCCATGATCACCTCCAAATTACCCTGGAAATGATCGACACATCGATACGAATCCAGTGTATTTTCCATACAAGGGGAGGCCCCTAAAATTCATAAGTTCGTTTAGGACACCCCAAAAAAACGATCGTTGACCAGAAACATACCAGAAATCTTAGTTCATCAAGTAAGTCAACTATCAGAACCATCAGCTATAAATCACCCATGTTTGTTGGTTCAACATTGTCCAATCAGCATTTTCCAAGGCTTCATACGGGGACTTCACCGCTGATTTGCCAAGCAACGCCGCCACTGGCCGTGAGGTTGTTGCTTTCTAAATTCCTCGATGGCTTTCAGCAACGATAGCGATGACATATATCTGGGTATATTATAATATTTCACTAACCTGAATTAAGATCATTAAGGCCATTTGGGGATGATTTCCCGCAATCTAACCTTAATTTACCCAGATATATGTGTATAGGCTGTCTAGATATTGATGATATTGTATGTAGGGCATTAATATTGACATGCATCTACCAACTGATCATGTTTGATCATGTTTGACACTACAAATTGACCGTTCGATAAACTCATCTAACATCTTTAAACTCGTATCCACCATCAACCCTAACGTTGGTGCTCCCTTGTTGGTTTATGTTCACCCCATCAACTATTTCTAATTGGTGGTATACCCCTCTGAAAAATGATGGAGTTCGTCAGATTGGGATCGTCATCCCAACTGGATAAAATTCATGTTCCCAAAGCATATAATGTGGTTAATATACTCTTAATAATGGTTAATATATGGTTACTAGATATATTCCATGGTTCCAGTCACCAACCAGATTTGGATCCTGCCAAAAGCATCGTAGCCCAGCCTGGTGAAATGCCCCAATTTGTTCGCTTACTTCCCATGTCTACAAAGATTCAATAGTCGCTGGGATTTGACATGTTCCTCTTCTCTCCCAGCATTTGTCGGAGAGCCACCTCTCCAGGATTCCGAAGCCGTGATTCCGGATTGCCATGGCCATTCGAAGGGCTACCATGGGTTCATTGGTACAAAAGCGATAGAATGCCTGTGGCAAACAGTTGAGTAGCCTCCAGTAAACTAAACTGAAAAAACCATGGATAACAGGGCCCATTGAAATAGATGGTTTACCTATTAAACATGGTGATTTTTCAGTTCGCAAACTGTAAACGTTTACCGGTAACCAAAGTGTCGCCAATTTTTTTGCCCAAGGTGCAGGGACCTCAAGGTGTCATTCTTTCTCAAGGCTTCTCCTGGCGATATGGCAGAAAATCCTCGTAAAGTGGGGATGTGTTTAAAGGATAAAATAATAGTCCATGGGAAGGATTATCCCATATATTATGGAAAATAAAAAATGTTTGAAACCACCAACCAGAAATATATGTAACTTCAGAATGATCATATATGATCATAGATACATATCACAGAATGCAGAAAACTCGTAGATGATTTAAACAGCTTCCGATATGTACAGAGGTAGACATCACCGTGTCCAGCAGGACAAAGCTCAACGAAACGACCCGCAATGGACTGATCCAGCCCTAAACCCAGCCTGTCGTGTCTTGGTGCTATGGGACTAGCCATTCCAAATAGATGCTCTAAACTATTTGGTGGTTCATGGTTTCTCGCAACGTTTTCCCCATTCAAATGACCCGCGAATCTTCTTAGCTGCTTAGCTTAGTATTATCTCGTCTTAAAATCGACAAACACTAAAGTTCCAAAGTTCCAAAGTTCCATTTCTCACTCCCTCTTAGCTATACTTTAACAAACATCTTCCCCGACTCCCGAAGTTCCGCCTATCTTTTCGGCCGCTTGGACGCCCAAGTTGTTCCCCTCACATTCCAACTTCAAGAGACCTGGAGGGGACGATCCCGGCAAAATGGGTGGGATTTCACCGTGGGGAAAATGTCCTGGATAATGGTTCAATGAAACCCCACCCAATCTCTGGGATAATGTCTAGGTGGGATTTCACCATCAGTGAAGATTTCATATTTAACTATATTCATATGGATCAATTGATGTTTCACCAATATCTATATGGATATTTCATGGTTGCCCTGGAAATCCACCAGAATGGTTCAAACATGTTCAAACCCATCACCAAAAACCATGAGGGTTTATGGAGAGGGCGTGGAAAACAAACAACAACTAAGAATGGTTTTCCCCATCTATACAAATCTCAACGTCCCAAGTGCCAACCTTTCCCCAACCCCAAAATTTCATTGATAGCGGGGTCATGGTTGGCACAAATTGACGCCCGTCCCCTCACAAAAAAATCCGGAGATTTCTCGCAACTTTCGCCGATTCAAATCCCTATTTTGCCTTTTGAAAATACTGTTAATCCAAAGTTGGTGCCGCTTAAGCCATCTCCGGATGATATCCCAACCCATAATCACATGTTGGTTCATCATCTCCCATCATCGTCAAAGCTTTTCTTGTTCTCCAAGATGATGAAATATGGCCAAATCGCCCCTTGATTTCACCCATCGCATTTCGCCCCAGTTCGGAAGATTGGAAGATCTCCAAAAAGTCCATGGCTGCTCCAAAAAATCGCCCAACAACTTACTGGTGCGTTGTACGTAGGGTTGCTGGATGGGACTGGAGGTTGCTGGGATGATGACATTACTAGTGATTTTCCTGGGATCATTCCCGAAAAAGTAAAACGCACCAGTAAGATTAACCATCATTCATCATCATCAACCATAATTCACCATCATTACAGACTATTAATTAACCTCATTAACCATCAATTCACCACCAAATCCATCCCCATCCATCGCCTTTGTTCTTCTCCAACATCCCGGCCAAACTGTCGCCGTCCTCCTCGATGAGTCCCTTGCGGTTCAGATCGATGGAGCGACAGGACCTGAGACATGGCGAAGCCACATGGTGCCATGGTGGTAGCATAATGCTGATGATAAATGATTGAGGAATATTAATAACTTTCTCATGATCTATGTACATATTGTACATTATATATATAATTATGTTCATATTTTTGATCTACTGTACCGATTGGTGGTGCAATAACCATCTTGAAAAAGTCAATGGGAAGGATTATCCCATATATTATGGAAAATAAAAGTCAAGTTCCAAACCACCAACGAGATATAGTATGATACCTTTTGATAGCTATGATACTGGTATCTATTTTGTCAACTTTATGTATACCTCACTATCTTGGTAGCATTATCAAGCATTTGTTTGGTGTTTCATTGATCAATAGCCATTATCTAGAGATATATGTAGATTAACCATTGTATAGTAGGTGTATAACAGTTATTTTGGATAAATTGGATCAAATTGGGAAATGCAAACATTATGGTACTTAACATTGTGGATCATTTTGGTACTCAACAATGTTGAAAACCTGCCGCCGTCCAAACTCTCCCATGTTTAGAGACAATGCAAATCGAAGGCAATCCTGTCAAGCACAAGAGTGCTTGTGTAGCTCATATATTGGCTGTCGTGCCACTAGTACATGTCTCAACCGCCGAACAACTTGACGTTGCTCCGGCGTCTAGGTGATCTGATTGCGGCGTCTGGAACTGGCAAGGGATCAGCAGTCCTCACATATCCATTATCCGCAGAAAATTGTTGGTTGGCATCCTTATCCCCATTCTATCTCCGTAAGCTTCAAAGAACTCCACAACCATTATCTATGGCTTGAATTCTCAATGATACCCCAGCTTTCTCATTAAAAAACACATCCCCAACTTTCTCATTAATTTCCCAAATTTCCCCCAGCTTTCTAACTTCCCCAAATTCCAGGAAATCTCCCAACAAATCATCCAGGTTTCATATAAACAATATCAACAACACACACCATTCGAAACCGACCAAGATCTCCCATCCAGCTTTCTCGATCCCCATCTTGCAGCCGTGCCACGTGTTTTCCGAGAGATTCTTACACAGCAGCCGCAGCCGCGCCGGGTTTAGGTCGATGCCGCAGGCTGTGATGTCCGGGGCGCTGATGTTGTCTAACCTGGGGATTTTAAGGTGAGACGAAAAACACGGGGAAACCAAAGCAAAATCAGCAAACAAACATGAGATTTGAGATCGTTTGATAGATTTCTGATGGTTCTAGATGCTTTTTTTGGTTTCAGATGGTTTTCGATGGTTTATGATCAAAGAACCAGCACACACAAATTGACCTCTTGCTGTAAAAAAAAGTTGATCCTCCCAGATATTATTCATTCAGTCTAGGTATGAACATGTACGATTTGCACCCAACATAACACTCGATGAAGCCATAATAAACATCTCATTTAACACGCATTGTGATGTTTAAACCATCTTGACACCCCCTCCATTCATAGACCCCTCCGATGCAGAAGAACCCCCCATCGACGCCGAGGCATGCCGAGGCGCAGGGAGTGCAGAAGTCGATCTAAGCCGCCGTCCTTTTTCTTCCGCTGCTCTTCTTCTTCCCTCCTTTTGCGTTCTTGTTCCTGGCAAGGCCGAAACATGCCTCACGGCAGGTTTGTTTGTAAGCGGACATATAAATCACTGTGGCTAATATCTATGATATGTTTAGATATTAATGATGATATATGTTGTAAGTCAAGCAGCTATAAAAGTTGATGATACATACTCGGATATTGGGATATATATATATATGAATATATGAATATATGATATATGTTGTATATGTTTGTATATCCACTATAAGACGAATGATATTAGTGATATCACCAACAATAAATCTGATGGATTTTCATGGAAGCCAGTGGATGGATAAAGTGGTACCTTTTCTGGATCAGCCACTATATCTGGTTGGTGGTTGACCTACCCCTCTGAAAAATGATGGACTTCGTCAGTTGGGATCATGACATTCCCAATATATGGAAACATAAAATTCATGTTCCAAACCACCAATCAGAAGTGATATATACTGAATAAGATCTGACATTCCAAATTAAGGAATCAATGAAGGATTATTGTAAAGTGATATCAGTAAAACCCAAATCTGATGGATAAATGTGAAATTTGATACTGATATAATGATATATAATTATGATATGGCCAGGCATGAATTGCTTTTCTTTGTAAGCACCGGTGAAAAATTCAGATAAATAACTGATCTGATATCATACATAGTACAATTAGATACACAACGATACAACAATCCCGAGCAAGTCATATGAGCCAAAAAAAATACCCGCTTTCCTATCCTATCATAGGTGTATTGTGTGACGTGTGCAATACTAATTACAGGACATCTATACATATATATATACATAATGGCAAATTGCAATAATAGTCATGATCATAATGATAATGATAACACTTTCTGATATTGATAGGAATGTTTTGCGATGGCGGATCTAATAAAAACTTGCCCTTGACATGCGATGTTTTTCTCAACGTCTATGACCAACGTCTGTTCCAAGGGGACCACGACGACCCAGGCGCCATCAGTGACCGACCTTCTTTTGCAGTTCCAGGCGTTGTTTTTCCTTCTTCACCTGCATCTCCTGCTGTCGTTTCTCCTTTTCCTTCTGTTCCTGGCAGGTCCAACACGGTCGCACATAAGAAGGACCTTCGCAAGCAAAAAATGGATAGAACCGTTGGACACCTAGGCACTATGAGGGATATCTATGACATTGTGGATGAACCGTTGCTATCTCGTTAGTCATCATCATTTATGACATTTATGGATGAATCGATTCCAACTCTTCGGGGACCCCCATATATATAAATATATTATTCACCAAAAAAAAATTGGCTGCGGGTTTCATATATTCAAGATGTCCAGTCCTTTTCTTTGAGCAGCTTCTCTGCATCTTCTTTCCGCTTCTTCAGCAGTTCCTGATTGCGAAACCAAAGGCTGGAGACCATTCAAATGCATGAATGGTGAAGAATTGGGGGCCTCTAACTCCACAAGACATTGTCAAGGCGAAACAAAATGGATATCTGTGAGGCTTGGGTTTTTGGAACTGAAACATGAATATCATGACTGGTTGGTGGTATACCTACCCCTCTGAAAAATATGAGTTCGTCGGTTGGGATTATGACATTCCCAACTGAACGGAAAGTCATAAAAGTCATGTTCCAAAGCACCAACCAGATCACCATCACATTCCTGTTGTAACCTATTATCCACTATTAGCCTATGAAAACCACTATTGACCATCACTATTAACCACTATTAGCCTATCATGAATATCACTGCATCACTTTTGCTTCATCATCCCATCACCGTGCGAACTTGGCAAACCACCACCAAACATTGATGCTATCCGACGAAGAAAATCAGTATCTTCACCCAGTGATGCGAAGAATCAATGGTTCAATGGTCATAAAAACCACCATTCTGTTGCTTTACATCAATTTATATGTCCTCCCCAATTTTTCCAGACAAACCCAGATCAAGTTGGTTTCATATCCCTATCCACACTACATCTCCCACAACCACCAGTTCATCCATATATCAACGAGCGATCTATTACCATCTATGAGCTATACATGAACCACTATTAACCATCCTTCAACTATAGTTAACATCCATGAACAACTATGAAAAAATCACCATCAAACCAAATATCAACCATATATCCATCATATACCCACATCTTTTCTTTGTGTTCACCATATGGAGTTTCCCTAAAATGGGGGTACCCCTAAATCATCCATTTTATTTTAGAATTCTCCATTATAAACCATCCATTTAATCATTTTGGGGTATCCACCAATTATGGAAAGCCCCATATAGTAATATTAATCCCATCAAACACTATATAATTTTGATGGTGGTTAAAATCGAATTAAGAACGATAGTATGATAGTCATAATCAAATATTATAACCATCTAATAATAACCGTCATAATTTTTCAATTAACTATAGTAATTAATATTGATCACATCAAACACTATATAATTTCAATTATAAACCATTATAAACCTTAATTTGCATCATGATGATGGTTAGTCTTATTGTTACCAACCATGTGACACCACATCTTCTTTTTTGTGTTCCCCATATTACCCTCTGGTAAACATTTGCAGTTTGCGAACTGGCAAATCACCATTTTAATAGGTCAAACATCTATTTCTATGGATCAATGGTCCGTTTTCCATGGCTTTTTGTATGACCGGAGGCTAAACTCCACCCACCATGCCGTTGCCGTTGTTTTCCACCCGGGCACCAGCTTCTTGCGCTGCATTTCCTCGGTGCGCCGCGTCTTCGGCAGGATCTCCACGGGCGGTTTGAAGACCAACGTGCCGCGCACCTCGTTCTCCTCCTCATCGAAGGCCGCCTCGGATCCGTGAACCCAAGGGCATATCATTGGGAGAAGAATACAGTTGCATGTTGAAATCTATTATGTAGTTAAAGATTAAGATTAATATTATAGCCGATGTCTTGCTAACATATATGATCTTTAACTATCCAACTAGCAATGAATGATTAGATAAGCAATTAACTGATCAATATTTCAATCTATGGATGGTTTTCTGAGATTTTTCTTTGTGTTGGATCAGGCGCAAGACTTGTAAGAATAAGCTTGTCAAAGCCTTTGCTGTATTCATCATCCATCTCTTTCTAAGTCTACGTATGGTTCCTATCTATCTACCTATCTATTCTAATCTATTCTATGTGTACCCATATGTCATAGCCGGTGATGGGATAGGGATGGGTGGAAAAGAAGCAGAAACAAACACGGAAATCTGAAAAAACATGGAAGGATTGGGATGGCGGATGGTAGGGGAGCAGGGTGAAATTCATAAGCAATTAGCCTCTGGTCATCACGGCTAGCTGGTTCTTTTCCATATTTAGTTCGATGATTTTTCCAGCGAACCTTCAATCTTAGGGGATTTCCTAGCTACATTTCATGATCGGAGGCTATTCAATTGAAATTGCACCAAGAAAACAGCGAGTGTAGAGTAGCAAGATGGCCATGGGTTTATGTACCTTGTGTAGATGGGCGTGAAAAAGCTGCCAGGTTCCTATTTGGTTCTCATGAAGTGGTTGGTGATGGTTGGTTTTATTCCCATCAGCCCCATTTTATTCCCGAACAATTTGGGGAATAAACATGGTGAAATTGGGGGTGGTTTATTATTGTTCTACCAACATTATATCCCCGAACAATCATACCAATAATCATATAATGTTGGGGGTGGTTTATTAATGTTCTACCATACATCCATACATTATACCATGTACATACATTATTGTTGTTTTGGGTGGAAACATCTAACCAGATAACCAGCACCATTTTATTCCCGAACAACATTCCCTTAAAAAAACACAATGGTTTCCAATAATATGACCTGATCTTCCCATGAACTGTGGCAGCATCTATCGTGGCGACTTCTCCATCTACTTGGTGGTTCAACCACAACGAATCCGAGCTTCCTAAATGGGGTTGGTTCACCCACTGGAAAAAAAACCCACTGAATGGGGGACTTATTGACCACTAACTAGTTACATCTAGTTTTTGCACCAGGGCTAAGTCACTAAGTTTCACCATCCGGAATGGGCACTGATTCTTTGGGGCTAAGTCGGATGCCGCGGCACCATCTCCTCCGGAATCTGCGGACTGGGCAGAGCCATGGCGAGGCGACCAACGCAGCCTGAAACGAAGCGTTCCGCGGTCGCGCCGCGGAGTCCTGGCCCGGCCTTTGGTGCCAGGGAGCTGCGGAAATGGCAACGGTGGGTGATTTATGGCTTGTTAATAAACATATGATGGTGATTTGATGATCGATCTGATGGTTGATTTGATGGTGAATTAGTCTATGGTGATTTGATGGCTACTTGATGGGTAATTGATGCTCCCTAGTCTATTGATGGTGATGGCTACTTGATGGGTGATTGGTGCTCCCAAATTAACAACAGCCACCACTTTACAAATTAAATAGGGGGTGCAATTTCCTCGTGATTTCTTGGTGGTTATTGATTTTATTATACACGGTCATTCTATAGCTAACTATTTATGGTTCACCAAGTGTGGTTAACTTATAACAAATGGGTGTTGGAACCGCTTCCGACTAGGCATGACTACCAGGTGTTTCTTTGTGCGGAATCCAAACCAGCCAGCAAAATAGTCTCCAATTCAAATAAGATCCAACTATTGCGGATCATATTGTTTATCTGGAGAATCTGGAGTTAAATAGTAATGTCATGTTCATTCCACTGCAACAACACCGTTTCTGAAACAACTCTTCTTAGCAAGCTAACTTATACCCAACTCCTGTGCGAGAACAAATAGTATCTCTGTTGTTGAGCTTCCCCTGACCTGACAAAATGATTGAACCAAATCGACGTGAGGTAATGTTTGAAACCGACCAGCCAAGCACAGTTTTTCTTCGTCTTCCATGGAAGTCATTGGACCCTTCAGAAAATACTTGGGGGTGTCCATGACACGCTTGGCAAATGGCTTCACTTTATTATCCACATAGCAACCGGGGTATATCTCATAACCCTGTTATATTTTCTTAGATGTTCGATGAGGTTTAGTACCAGCAACTGATACTTACTGGTGCTTAGCAGGGAATGAGGGAATGATCCATAATCACGATCAATAATAATCCCATTCCCCCAGTCCCATCCATTCCCTACTAAGCACCAGTAAGATGAGGTTTATTACCAGCAACTGATATGCCAATTATGCACTTGGATTGATCAACTGAGTGCTGAACAATTCACCGTCTTCGATTCCCAAATAAAATGCGGCGACAATCACCTCCACTGCTATCACCCAATCCCATAAAAACCAACCAGAAATCATCATGAAACTGCTATCAAATCACTAAAATTCACCAAACCATCCAAAGGTCGGTTGAACTCCTTCCATGCGAACCCCAACAAATACATCATAACAAATCCATAGCCCCTATAATTCCTTTGTAGTTAAGCCATAGTTAAAGCCCTTTTTGTTCCATGGCCCCAATCCATAGCACTGCCATGCACGTTACGAAATCGCCTGGCAGCCTTCAGCGCGAAGTAGGCGTTGCGCGGTAGGTGCAGGGTATCGCCGGGTGAGAGTCGGGCGCTTTGGAGATCTGGGAGGGTGGGATGTAGGGGACCATGGGGGACCCAGATTCTAGGGATAGTGTTTGTGGTAAACGTTTACAAAACGAACTGGAAAGATCCACCATTTTATAGCTGGGTAAATCCACTATTTCGACTGGGTCATTTTCCATAGCTATGTTAAATTACCACAGGGTAGTGGTTGTTGTTATGATGGATATAGAGGTTTCCATTAATGGGACATCCCCAATAGCTGGATGATTTACAATGGAAATTCCCAAACAAAAATGGATGAGAACTGGGGGTACCCCTATGACTTCGGAAACCACCATATGGTGATAAGGATATAGTGGTTATAGTGATTTTAGTAGATGAACATGTGTTTTCATAGTCTTATGGGGATATAATGGAGGTTCTTGTGGTTATAATAGTTATGGTTAATGATTACCATTCCGTGGATGGTTGTGGTAGTTATAGCAATGTTGATACTTGTAATAGTGTTAATATGTGTTGCTATAGTTGTTATCATAGTTCAAACAACAATGATTTCAACTAGCTTTAGATATTGATGGATCAACACTGGTTCGTTGGATCCCTTCCGCATTTGGGTCATGGGGTGTCTCCATGGCATAACGGACCCACCTATGGCTGACAATTGGGGACTCATACCCTACATGGAGGCACGAATAACCAATCAGTGACCAACGAATCAGGATATCAATATCGAAACACACACACACACACAAACGTACTAAACAATCCAGTTGAGTAGTATCCAGTCATCTTGCCGCAGTTTTCACCGATCACCTGTGATCTTTGCTCGTTTTGCTCATACTTTTAGAGTCATCACAGAATGTCCACACTACTTGCTAGGGCTCCACATCCAAACGCTGAAATCACCATGGTTGTAGTAGAAACAAGCTGGACTGCCAAACTAGACCAAGTTCTTTATCAATGTTTATCAATATCTGGTTAATATACTGTTAATAATGGTTCATATATGGTTATTATATGGTTAATGATGGCTAATAATAACCTGGTTGGTGGTGCAATAACCATCTTGAAAAATATAAGTTTGTCAATGGGAAGAATCATCTCATATATTACGGAAAATAAAACATGTTCCAACCACCAACCAGTATATATTTTGCTTTCCCATTCTATCCCATCAAATATTGAAATATACGTATCAAATATGCCCACCTTGTTGGTGACCCCATCTGCACCAAGGCATCTGAAGATTCGACTCGTAAACAACACCAGTGGCAAGGGAAGGCCAATGCAAAGCCCCTGATTTAAGTATATCTATACGGCAGCTACATTTAAATAAAAGGATTTTAACATATACGAACTGGTATTTTAGATGTATATATTTAAATGTCGTTACCGTATATATATATATATATATATAGATGATTTACCCAGATTAATCACTAATCCCAGTATGTAAAGCCCTATTGTTGATGGTTTAATGGTAATTAATTAATTAAATCACCATTATAGATGATTTTCCCGGCTATAAACCTACATTTTAGGCTGGGGATTTCCCATGCCACGATTATCGGGGGTAGTTGGAGCAGTTGCTGAAGGACTCTCGAAATCTGTTGGAATTTCACCGCGTAAATTCTGGTGAAATTCCAACTTTTAATGGGCTAAATCCACATTTTAATCTGCAAAAGCTATTGATTATATTTAAATGGGCTCAATCCCTATTTAAAGTTGGAATATAACCCCTATTTATTCCCAGCAAATCCCTATTAAAATTGCTTCAATCATGGCATTTGCCGAGCCGCCAGCATCGGCATCACAAGGAGATGCAACCTATAAATCACCGGCTGCGAAAGGAAAGGCACGGACGGACACGGAGATAGTCGACATATGTGGATATTGTAAGCATAAGTAATAGTAAATATAGTAACTATTGGAAATAGTATGTGGATATAGTGAATATACATATATATATATGTATATAAAACATATGTGGAATTTGTAAACAATAATAGATTAATATTCACAGTAATCTATAGTCTATACGTTGGTTAATATTCACAATAATCTAATAATAGTAAATATGTGAATTAGATTAGTATTACTCTTTAGGCATATGTAACTATAGTAATCATTGGACATAGAAAGCATAGCAATAGTAAAAGGAGAAATAAAACTAATAGAAATAGTGGGGATGAACAATAAAGGAAACATTGACTTTAAGGTACCCTACTTCAAACTAACCGATCGATCATATGATTGGTTCTATATCCAACTACCACTTGTATATAATATACTATATAATATCAAATATCTCTGTATATATATATACAACATATCTATATAATATAACATATTATATAAAATAGTAATAGCATTAATAATAATAACAACAACAATAATAATCTTATACACATATTACACATTTTAAATACCCCAAAAAACGGTTTGTTTAATACCTCCTATATCCATTACACTATTTATTGGTAACATCCCTATTTCTCATTCCACGGATCCGCTTCGTGGGTTCGTTCACCCCAGAAATTCAAAGTCTGGTTGGTGGTAAAACAACCCAAAAAATATGAGTGAAAGTCAGTTGGGATTATGACATTCCCAACTGAATGGAAAGTAAAATTCATGTTCCAAACCACCAGTTAAGTGGATAAACTCGACTTATCCCATGTGTAACTGGGGTGAACTAAGCTATTTAGGATCCGTGATGAGCCAGGCCTGCGGCGGACGGTCCGTGACGGCAACGTCTACGAGGCCGTCGAGTGGGGCAACCTGACATGGCGCTGATGGCATGGTGAAATCAGCGCTGTTTTGATGTTTACAGTTGGGAAGAAAAAATAACCATATGTGGCTATATATGGTTAATATATGGTTAATATATGGTTAATATATGGTCAATATAAAGGGTGTTTAATGTGTTTATGAAAATAATCCCTGTAGCTTAATATATCCTAATATTGTTGGAAATCTATAACACCCAAACGAAATCAAACAAAACCTTGGTGGAATACATTGAACCTATTCGTTTGGAAGCCGATTTTTTCGGTATCTGTGATCAGTGGATGACCATCGAGGGATTTTGACAATGCCTCTGTGGCTAGGAACGACGAGACTCCGATGGGGATTATCTATGTCATGATTACTTGAGGAATTGATGAACGGATCACCAACGGATCACCAAGGTTCAATGGCTTTGCCACCCTAGCCCTATAGTATACAGTATACAATCTAATAGGAATGCTTGATATTCTAGGATTTTGAAAACCATGAAGCACAAACCAAATGCATGAATACTGTGCTAAGCAGGGGCTGAAAGCCGTTGTTTCCTCTAGATTTTCCTTTGAAACCCATGGTTCTCCACAAATTTCTGTGGATTTTCCCCCTGATTTCCGAAAAATCTTTCGCCAAAGGTGCTAGCAACTCCGTCTCCTCAGCCAAGTGGTCGAAGCGACGAAGGGCCTCAACGCTTAGGATGGAGATTTATGGGTCGAAATAACCAACACAAAATGGGGAATTCATCGTCAACATGGGGAGTTGATCATCGTGTCAACTTTGCACAGTTGATTTATATGTCAATATAATTAACATTAGTTGATCATATCTACGTGAATATGATTACAGTAATATATTATCATTAATATTATCAACTGCCTGTTTTAATATTAGTTGATCATATGTTAATATAATCAGTAATATGCACATCATGATTAGTCATATGTCGTATGCGATAGTCATCCTGAAGGTGGAATCCAGGATTGATGACGGCGATATGGTTAAAATAATTGCGATGATGGCTATACGGTAAATACTTGGTTAATATGGTTACCATTGGATATATATATATATTATATGGCTATATGGTTGATATATGTATATAAAGGCAATTTTTGGAAATTGTTTGGTGTAGCAATTGAGATTTCATGAAAGCAGGTAGTAATCCCATCTCATTCGTTCGAAGTTCTCCAATGCGAAAGCCAGCTTGAGATCTAATACTTTCCATCATTTTTGTAGGGTTTATATTGCCATTGCATAACTTATTGGTGGTTTCACCCCCCTGAAAAATATTAGTCAGATTGGATCATCATCCCAACTATTGGGGAAAATAAAACATGTTCCAAATCACCAACCAGACATAGTATTGCATACTCTTGGGTTGGGTTGATAAATTAATCCCTGCTGGCCCTGCTTCACCCGCTGATGCCAAGACACGCCCAGTGGCGCCACCCAAAGTTCGGCCCACTCTTCAGGCAGCGCCTCCGATCTCGGGGAAGAAGCAAGTTATGTCTGTGAACAAGTAACAAGGATACTGGCGCTATTAACCAACTATGGGGATGTCAGCAAACATGGGGATATCAAGAACCCGTGACTAATGGATAAACGTATTGTGATTTGTATATATGTATATATGTATATCTATATGTACTATATGTATTATATATATATACGGTAAGTACATTTAAATAAGGATTTTAACATGTACGAACAGGTATTTTAGACTACCTCCGGGAAGGTTTTCCTTGGCCCGCCCGGCCATTTCAACATACGGAATCCAATTCATTTCAACATACGGGAACTACATTTGAATATACGAACTGGTATTTTATACTACCTCTGGGGCCTCGCGGTCTGACCCTCCATATATTTAAATGTCGTTACCGTACATGTTACAAGTGGAAATCATGGGGATAGTCCTGGGATGTTCATGGCATCTCGGTGAAACAACATGACACGACCGCATAGCCTTGGGGATATTGACCAACAAGCAAGGCTATTAAAGAAGAACTATGGTAACTATGACCTGCAATAGTTCGGCTTTGGGGCTGCAAGAATGGGATGTGTCGGAATATTGAGCCCAACAATAGGAGTACGAAAACAATTGAACAACATGTTCCCAAAACTTCATTGAAGCCACAACTAACATCTGATCCCATTCCCGCCATGCCCATTTTCCGGGCACCTCGCTTCTCAGTAAATCGTTGACTTCGGCCAAGCGCGGCAATGCTTGTGGCGGACGCCAAGTGAGCTGCCAAGAGGGACCATCCCCTGCCGTTGAGGACCATCAAACATAGATCGCTCAAACATGCCGATCTCAACATCAAAAAACGAATTTCAGCACGAAAAAGTGGTGTTTGTGACGTGATTTCACTATGAAACATGGTGGATTGACCGGACAAAATCAAGATGTCATTCACCAAATCCCTTTATTAAGAGTTAAGAGTTGGGGTGTGATCGTTTTTTATCCGCCCGCGGGGAAGCTGATTCATTTTATCATACAATTTCACAACAGATTCACAAGTAACTATGGCATACTATGGCCATGTTGCCTGCAATATCACAGGAGCATATGCTGCGTCGCAGCCATGTTTGATACAGAATGCACTGTCAAACGGACTTTTGCTGGAAATGGCATGCAGCGTCTTGCGGAAAGGCCATGACAATAGTCATTTATCACGGCTATGCAATCTTTTTTGGTTCGTGCATCTTACCTCAAAATACTAATTGCCAACACTATTTGACAGGTTGTGAACGACACTTTAAGGTTCTACAAGATTTCAGACACACTTTAAGGCTTTAAGGTTCTGCCCCCCCCGTCAGGTGATCTCCACCTGTCAGGAAGTCGTGGTGAGGCGGCATCGCTCCTTGCACATAGCCTTGGTCGTGCTCACCGATCTGATCCATCCAGTGCTTGGTTCACCAAAACATGGATATACTGGATGGTTTATGGTAATCATACAATGAGAAACATAATGCATAATCCCTTCCCCCCGAAAAAATGAAACACCCTGAACAAATTGCATCGTCCCAATGGAATGTGGAAAGTCCCTACATCCACCGTGGTTTCGTTGAACGGGGCTGTGAATAATATTGGGATGAGATTCATAGGTATAGTAGCCCTTCCCCATGGACGGGAGGAAATTTGATCCATCGGCCATGAAAAGTGGATGGGATAATGCTGGGAAAACGCGGGATATTTTTTATAAGAATGGGAATATGATGGGAATACCATTAGATACAGTGCTATGAACCCCGTGGTAATTGAACAGTTTGCCATTGAACATGGACCATTTGTAGATGATTTACCTATTCGAAATGGTGATGTTCCATGGCTATGTTAAAGTACCAGAGGGTAACGGAGAGTACCCAAAACTTGTCATTTCTCCAATCCTGAGCTTCACCAACAATGAACAAACGCATTTTCAAATTTGTATGAATTACTGGTTGGTGGTTTCAACCCCCTGAAAAATATGAAAGTCAAATGGGATGATGACATTCCCAATATATGGAAAAAAACATGTTCCACACCACCAACCAGATTATATCCTCAGACTTGGTGGTTAGTTGCCCATTGCCGTTGAATCACCATTTTTGACTGATGTTCAATGTTCAAGTCAGCATCACCAGATCTTGAATCACCAGCTGCTGCTGATTTTTTCTTATCCCGGAGTGATGGCCAAATTTCGATTGCCAATTCACAGTTATAGTCCCAAATTTGGTAAATTTGGTTTCAGTTTCTCATCCATAACCAATAGATCATTGATCCCTGATTTTAATTGATTATCCCAGCTTATCCCTGATTTTGGATGATCATTTCACAGCTATATTCCCATTGATCCCATCCAATTGATCCAGCTTATCCCTGATTTTCTCAAGCCCATAACCCAAAACACCCCCATGGATGGGGTTACCCCATGGTTGATGGTGAAATGCCCAACCGATACCCACGTCGAAATCTGGAAGAATCCACAATGATTTCTGCGATGTTTCCATTCAATATCACCATAAGCCCATCATGAAATCACTGTTTATTGATACTTAAATCATGATTTTGGTTGATTAAACCATCATGAACCCCCTATGGAAATCCCTGTTTGTTGATATTTAAATATTAACTCCCTATGGAAATCCCTGTTTGTTGATATTTAAATATTAACTCCCTATGGAAATCCCTGTTTGTTGATATTTAAATATTAA